ATGAATGGTGTATCCTTTTTCATTTAAAATGAACCCAAGAGGGCCCTGGCTGGTGTGGCTCAGTGGATTGAGTACCAGCTTGAAAGACGAGAAGTTGCCGGGTTGATTCCCAGTCAGGGCACATGCCTGGGTGGCAGGCCAGGTCCCCAGTTGGGGGTATGTGAGAGGCAACTGATAGATGTATTTCTCTCCCTTTCTTTCTCCCTCCCTCCCCCTCTCTCTAAAAATAAATAAATAAAAATGTCTCCCGGAGACCATCATTCTGATGCCAGTTTAGAATAAAACAGTTGAGGCAAAGCATGTACGGGTATTAAATCAGCCCCTCAGAGGCCCCAGAGCCGCAGCATCTTTCGCTGAAGCAAATGCCTTTGCAAACTCCACCCAGGTGTACCGGGAGAGCAGAAGGAGCCTCGTTCTGGACCAGATGCTTCTCCCCCTCCTCCCACACTGAGGTGTCACCTCACCTCAGCCCGGTTGGTCCAGTGTGCCCACAAGCCAGATATGAACACAAAGTGTCTGGGAAGAACCATTAGCAAGCTGACAGGAACCAGGAGGCCGGTGGGGCCTGACCACTACCCTTGCAAGTGGCTGACATTGCCAGTTGTCAGCTGGAAGCCCGGATCCACTGGTAATTATCAGATTATATAACCGTCCTTATTATTAAGGAGAACTGTGCTGTGGCAGGGCCGTGCTGGACTCAGACAGGTGGGCTGGAATTCTGGCTCTGGGACCCACCAGCCTGTGCTCCACCTCTCTGCACCTTGATTTCCTCATCTGTATGATGAGGAATGATAACACCTTCCCTGCATACCTGGTGCTCCTCGTGAATAAGGGAAGGAAAGGACTGTAAGTGCCCAGCGGCAAGAAGAGGGGCTGCACACCACGTGCTAGCTCAGATTAATCACCATGAAGCCCAAGCAAGTTCCGTGGGGGATATGGGGCCATGAATGATTCCTGACCAGGCCAAATTAGAAACAACAGAGGCCTCACATATCCTCAGTTCCCTGTTAGTCGCGAGAACACTGAACATCAAGTGGGACCTTCCCCATGGCCACTGGCAGCAAGGACGCCCACGCAGGTGCCGAGGGCGCAGCACAGCCTACCGCAGCCCTCTGCCTCGCCCACACTCAACGGAGCCCTCTTGAGTCCCCACACCCAAAATTCTTGTGACAGCCCTCCTGATCCTTCCTCATGGCTCCATCTACCCAAAGGCAAACTTGGGGACAGGAAAGGCTGACAGATCCCATGATGGGACAGTAGAGAGGGGAGGAGACCCCAACGAATCGGTATTCTGTTCAGATTCTGAGACCTCAGACAAGTAGGGGTCAGCAAGTTAAAGGGGCCCTTGACAGACATCCAGTCCATCCCTCACCTGACTCGAGGTGTGCACACCTGATACCGCTCTCATCTGGATTGTTGCACTAGTCTCCTTGCTGGTCCCCCTTGCTTCCACCTCTTCCTGGGCAGTCTACGTCCAAAACAGCAGCTCGTGACCCTGTTACTCGGAAGTCCGAACACGTCACTCTTCTGCTTAAAACCCTCTAATGTGTCCCCATTTCACTGAGTAAAATACAATGTTCTTAAAACAGCCCCTAAACCCTGGACAATTTGGTCCCTCTGTCACTGCCCAGGTGTCCTCTCCTGTCATCCTCCCCTTCACTCTCATCATATTGACCCCCTGGTGTTCCTCCAACACTCCGCACACGCTCCTGTCCCAGGCCTTTGCATCTGTTCTTCATTCTGCCGGGAATGTTGTTCCCCCAGACCCCCACACAGCTCACTGCTCACCTCCTTCAAACCTTTGCTCAAATGTCACCCCATTTAAATTGCAGCATCTCCCCTCACCCTGCCAGAACTCTCAATCTCCCTTATCCTGCTCCATTTTTTCCAGAGCATTTCTTATAACTAACACACTCTAGAACCTGCTTATTATGCTATTGCCTGCCACCCCTCCCCCCCACTCTATAGAATGTAAGCTCACAGGGGCAGGTACCCAGTAAGTGTTGGTTGGATGAAGAAGGATCGCAGCGGACCTCTGCCTCCATGTCACTCACCCCATGGATCCCAACTCTGCACTGAAGGAGGCAGAGCCCTCCTCCTTAGCTCTCAGCCTCTCTGCTCTTCGGTGAAGGTCTTGCATTTTTCTCCCACTGCCTCTCACATGACAGCTCCCTCTCCTCAAGATGTAACTCCATCTGCCGGTACCTCCCTACAAGTGTACAGCCCAGACTTGAGGCAGGTAAAAATGTGTGGCGGGTGACAGGAGGAAAATGGAGCAACGTGGGGCGGGAAGAAGCAAGACAAAAATCCAGGGAAAAGAGACCTGTGGTTTCTTCCGCAGAGGCTATCTGACATTAGACCTCTCCACTGTGGAGCCCGTTCTGCTCCTCCCTCCCTCCCACCAAGCATCATTTTAACAGACAGCCTGAAAACCCCCGGATCCCTGTGTTCCAGAGAAATCTAGTGAGGTGAGCACCAGATCCAAGACACAAGACAAGGGCTTGGTGGGTTGGGGAGGGGCTGGACACTCCCCTCCCCCCTACAGCAGGGAACACCTGACATGACTTCTGGCTCTCATCCCACCATCTCAGCAGGGAGGCCAGCCTGCCCCAGGGGCCCAGAGTTGGGGGGAGAATGAGTCCTTAGAAATTCTGGACATAGAAAGGCCTAGAAGGGTTTTAATGAAAACAAAGCCACATGGGCCACATGTGTTGAACTCTGAGGGGAGGAAGGGCCATGGTCAGCAGGGGACTGAAGAGAAGAGGGTTCTGCAGAACCGCTGGACCACATCACCCCCAGGATGAGCAGGTGGTTCAGGTGAGCTTCCCTGACCCCGGCAGACGTGACTCGGTGATGGCCTCACCCAGAGCGCACACTGTGCATTCCCAGCTCCCCTCTCAGTGAGGGGCAGCCTGTCGGTCAGGCGGAAGGAAGTCTGATTCGTTGGGGAGGCCAACATGTCACAACGCTCTGGGAATATGAAATAATATTTACCAGGGGATGATGTTGGGAAAATAATTACCAATGGTAAGAGGCAATCAGCAGCGGGGATCTCCTCCACTGCTCAAGTGGTGTGAAATTAGACAGAACAGGGCTCAGAGCAGTGCCGGCTTGTCGCAGGGACAGCCGGAGGGGTTGGAAAGTCACCACCTCTGCTGATTCTGTTAATAGGATAAAGCAGCCTTGCAAATAAGAGCCAGACCCCAGGAGGCCTGCATTTGAGGGGATGTAAAAATCAGGCCAGGTCCTGCCAATAGCTTCACTTTTAGATGTGTTAGAACTGCAAGGGAGCTTAGAGATCAGCGATGCCACTGGTTCTCAGTTTGGAAGGGTTCTTCCTTCCAAAAATACTGCAAGTATTAAGGAATAATTAATTTGTTTTCACATTTTTTTATTCATCAAAGACACTCAGAGGACTGCCAGCTGGGACAAGCAGAAGACACAGGGTTGATGTTACTCTAGTCCCAATCAAGAAACCTATTGTTTGACAGCCCAGCCATATTATCTGGTATAAATGTAGTTTCCCCTAGGAAAACCTTTAAAATAACACAAGGATCCACCTTTGTTTATTTATTTTAGGTTTTACTTTTAGAGAGAGGAGAGAGGGAGAGAGAGGGAAATGTCAAGGTGTGGTTGCCTCTTGCATGCCAACCAGGGACCTGGCCTGCAACCCAGGCATGTGCCCTGACCAGGAACTGAAAAGGTGACCTTTCGGTTCACAGGTTGGCACTCAATCCAGAGCTACACCAGCCAAGACGTGGGTCCACTTTTAAATACCTGAGGGAACCTGGGGAATCTACGTCACAAACCCCAAATCTAAGCAAACTCTTATTTTATACAGAAGCGGACTGAGCCCCAGAGAACACAAGTGGCTTGCCCCAAGACACACCGCTGGCTGCCAATAGGGTCAAGGCTAGATCTGGGCAAGCAAGACTTGGGCAGGGAAGGGGTAAGTCACAGCAGTGCATGCAGTGGCTGAGCACGGGTTATGGACACCAACTGGCCTGGGCTTGACTCTTGTCCTCAATCCTTACCTGCTGTGGGATGCTGGCAAAATGACCGAAGCCCTGAGCCCATCTCCATACCAGCAGAATGGGATAATAGTGCTTACCACATACTGTTGTGAGGATTAAGTGAGGTAAGAGAACAGAACACTTGGTCAACAGCAGCGACGTTTCCTTGTTTGTGTGCGTGGTGCTGGCAGGGAGTGGTCTATGCCAACCTAAGATCAACAAGCTTGGAGAACAAGGTCACATGACCCAACTTCTAGGTGGTGCCCTGACAATGCCAGTGGGAGACAAATTCTGTCCCAAGTAATCTCTGGGTACCAAACTGCAACGCCATCATTTCTGGGTACTCAGAAGCGGGGATGCCTCAGAACCCAGGCCGTGTCCCGACTCTGCCTCTCAATACCTGCACGGTGGGATTTGTGAATCTGCACTTTTAAAAATTATTTTTGAGATATAATTTACACACCATAAAATTCACCACTTTAAAGTTTACACACTTTCAGCGGCTTTTGGTATATTCATAAGGCTGTGCTACCATCCCCTGTAATTTAGGATTCTTTCCTTACTCCAAAAAAGCAAGCCCCAAACTCACTTGCGTCACTCCCCATCCCCCCTGTCCCCGACAACCACCAATCTGTCTTTATGGATTTGTCTATTCTGGACACTTCAAATGGATGGAATCATGTAACATGCGTCCTTTAATGTCTGGCTTCTTTCACTCAGCACAATGTTTTCAAAGTTCATCCACGGTGTAGCATAGATCAGGACTTCATTCTTTTGCAAACTGCACTTTTAAACGAGCTCCCCAGGTACTTCTGATGAGTGGGCTTTGGGGAGGAAAATAACAAATTCACAAAAGGTGAAATTTCTGGTTAATATACACATACAGGGCCTCAATCCTGTCTGGTGCGCCTGTCTCAGATACCCTACTGCTAGGAGGCAATGCTGGCTGCTTCCCTCCTCCAGAGGCTGCAGAGGTTGGGCAAGTGTGTCCTGGTGCTCAGTAGGGAGGGGCTGTCTATGGACAGTGGTCTGGCTGCTTGGGGAACTGTGCAGATTAACTGCAAAAGAGACTCACACAAGGGGATACAGTCTCAACTGAAAGACTTTAATGTACATTACACTCTTGGAAAAACATCTCCAAGGAAACGAGTGGAACCAAACGTCTTAACCAGCAGGAATTCTCATTTAGAAACCTGGTGTGAGCGGCAGCCTTGGGAAAGAACAGCACAGGGACTCTGATCATAGTACAGTGTCTTGAGGTCAGGGTGGAGGGGCGTGTGCGTGATGGGCAGGCCCTCGGGACTCCCAGGAAACCCACGCATCATGACTCTTGTGGCTGACAGCCCCACAGCAGGACTGGGAAGATCCAGGCTGACCGGCCATCTCTAGAGCTCTGAATAAGGGCGCAGAACTCCAACGGGGCCAAAGAAGCCTGTCCGGAGCAAGAACCTTTCTCTTTATTGTTGTATCTCCAGGTCATCAAAACCACTCACAGTGGCTCTGAGGAGGATAGAGGGCCACAAAGGAGGGCTGCCAAGTCCCACTTCTGGGTCTGAGTTCTCAGAATAGAACGAATGGGAGAGGTGTGGCACTAGCAAGGCACCTGAGGTCAGGAGCCACAACAACCTTGGGAAGATTACCCACTGGGATTTCTGGGTGGGAGAAAGAAACTTAGATGGAGAAAACAAAAGCTGATGACTCGTCAGATACAACCCAACTGTCTTCTGTGTCACGTTCTCCCCAGTCCAGGGCTCCTGAGTGGTCACATGCCCATGTTTTCTGTGACATATTCCCGTTCAACAAGGGGCAGACAGCAATTCTGGCTCATCCCCCTGCTGCCCTCTGTTTAAATTAGAAGTCATCAACTGACATCTCAAGGCTCCTTCGAAGTCCAGGGTTTCTTGTTTTCTCACCATTCTGTCAAATAAGCAATCAGTTCTCTTGGGCTTTTTGCTCAATTTCTTCTCATTCAGAAGGAAGTGGGTTGCTGGTGAGGCACATCTCTCCCAAGAGCTTCAGTAAGAGTCCATCTGGAATTAAGTCAGGTTAGCACCAAGGCCAGGCTGATGGGGAGCCCACAGTGGGTCTTCAGGATCGTACAGCCTCTTTGGCACTGAAGGAACTTATTTATTGGTGAAGGAGGGAATTCTGGCTTCACCTCTGCAAAGCCCAGTGGGGCCGCTGCTCTGGCAGGTCCCCATAGAAGGGGTGAGTGAAGAGGTCAGGGCTGCAGCTGGGTAGGAAGAAGGGGCCTTCCCTGGCTGAGAGCATTCCCAGTTAGCCAGTCTCCACGCCCTCGGGGAGCTCCACCACCACCGGGGCACAGTCCTCAGGCTCTGCTTCAAAGTCCCACCGAAACTTCTTGGTCAAGTGAGCTTGGAACTTTTCAGCCTTCTGCCTCAGAGTGGCATCCACAGCAATGCTGCAGGCAGAGGAAAAGAAAACCTACAGAGAACAGAGGGTAAGTCACTCCTGAGAACACAGAGGGAGCTGAGAAAGCTGTGGAAATTTCCTCATGGTGTTCAGCTCTCTGGGGCGGGTAGATCAGCTGCTGGTGGCACAGGCCCAGGACACCTGCTGTGCTCCCCCAAACCAAGAAAGAAGGTCCAAACCCAGCTGAGAAGCTGGGGCAGGACTAGAATGGAAAATTACCGTCTTGGGCAGAGCTGCCCCACTAAGATAAGGCCAGCGGGGCCATCAATCTGCTCCTGCCCCCCAGGAAGATCTACTGGGCACCTGGGCAGTAACTCAGAGGAAGAGGTAGTAGCTACATCAGCTGGTGCTAAAAGGGCATGGGGGGCTTATAAGCCCCTGGATTCCATATAGTCACAGGCCCTACACCAGTGAGGCTGAATTGCTGCTCTAAACTAAAAGGACCACGGCTGCCAGTTTGAGATCTCTATTCCCCTTAAAAGCTGTCTTTGATGTTCTTTTTTTAAAATTGTGATAACATATCCACAACACAAATATACCATTTTAACCAATTTTTTGCATTATCAAAAAATAGCATTAAGTACACACAACAAAGTAGTCACAATTTTAACCATTTTTAAGTGTATAGTTCAATGGCATTAAATATATTCATTGTTATGCAACCATCACAACCCTCCATCTCTTGAACTTTTTCCATCTTTCCAAAATGAAATTCTGAACCCATTAAATAATAACGTCTCATTTCCTCCTCCCCAGCCCCTGGCAACCACCACTACTTGCTGTCTCTAGGAATCTGAATACACTAGGTACCTCATAGGAGTGGAACTTAAAGTATTTATCCTTTCGTGGCTGGCTTGTTTCACTCACCACGATGTCTTCAAGGTTCATTCATGTTGTAACCTGAGTCAGAATTTTCTTCTTCTTGAGGCTGAATGATACTCCACTGCATGTCTACACACTTTGTTTTCCATTCATCTATCAGTGGCCATTTGGTTTGTTTGTACCTTTATAATACTGCTATGAATGTGGATGTAAAAATCTCTCTCAAGAGTCCCTGCTTTCAATTTTTGGGGTATATACCCAGAAGGGAAGTTCCTGGATCATAAGAAGATTCAGTTTAATGTTTTGAGGGAGCACTATAACTGTCTTTCACAGTGGCCATGCCATTTTACATTCCCATCAGCAATGAACAAGGGCTGCTCTCTCCACATCCTTGCCAACATCTGCTATTTCCAGTTATTTTGGATAACAGCCATCCTAATGGGTGTGAAATGGCATCTCATTGTGGTTATGATTTGCATTTCCCCAATGATTAGTGATGCTGAACATCTTTTCATGTATTTATTTGGCCATTTGTATATATTCTTTGGAGAAATGTCTCTTCAAGCCCTTCGCCCATTTTTAATCAGGTTGGTGTTTTGGTTGTTATTGTTGAGTTATTGGAATTCTTTAAATATCCTGGATAGTAATCCTCTAATACCGTTTTGATGTTCTTTTGAATTCAGTTTCCTCTAATATAAACGTGGGCAGGGGGCAGAAGAATAATTTTCTCTACATCTGAAACTCCACTCCAGATTGTCCTAGATCCCAACCCCTTCTAAGAACAACAGCAAAGCTATTACTCTACATACTATTTTACTGTTTTCAAAGAAGTTTCACAGAGTATCCCAACAGATCTTCAAAACACCCTGAAAGACACACTAAGATGTCTACTTTTTTAGAAACGGAGGCTGATCATCGGATGACCGGACTGAAGCTATCCAGAAAGGAAGGAGTCGTTCTTCCCAGCCTGCCCGTCGGCTTCTGGCAGGACCACCCCACAGACACAGGCGCACGAGGGTGGAAGATCTCTGATCCACGTTATCCTCGTGCCACAGCTGGTCCACAGACCACCATGGAAGGAATCCGGGCTCCGGGGGCCTTGACCTGACAAAGGTAACAGGTGCACTCTGCAGCTGACTCCTTGGACAATGCCCCTTCCACCTGCTTCTCCACTATCTTTTCGTGTGCAGGAGGAGCAAAGCTCATTTTCAGTGGCCTTTGTTTAAAGCCATTTTGTTGTAATGGCTATAAGGACAGAGTGATGTGGGAAGAGGTGGGGGTGGTGGAAGCAGAAGGGAGTTTTACAGAATTTGGTTTCATTAACTTGGGAATCGACTAAATAGAGGAGCAGGGAAGCATAGCCACAACAAAGTACCAGATCAATAACTAATTAGAGGGGCTGTGCGAGCTTGGTGGCGAGAGGACAGTGGGGAAGCTGGCGGCCTGTCTGTAAGCAGCTAATGGAGCTCACTGTGGAGCGCTGAACACGGAGCCCAGCTGAACTCTGGGGAGGGGTGGGGCGGGCCCTGGTATGGCAAGCCGAGAAGCCTTGTTTCAAACCGCATTAGCTCCAGAGGCCCTGCACACCCATGAGTCTGTTCCCAGAAGTCGTAGGGAACCTGCTAGCTGAATTATCAAAAGCTTCTTCCTGTTCCCCTCCTTATTTTGTACATCATACTCGTCTCTACACAGCCCTTCTCTCCAGCCACACTGAACAGTGGCCCAAACATGCTCTACTGCCTCTTTCGTACCTCTACACACGTGCTTTTGTTTTACTTATAACACCCTCCCACCCTGTTCTCTCCTCCTTCACCTCGCTGGTTTCTACTAGTGACTCAGACTCAGCTCAGCATCACCTCCTTCAGGATGTCTTCCCAGAACTAGGAGATGGAAGAGGTGCTCCTCTACGCTCCCTCAGCATCCAGGGCTACCTCGATCACAGCCTCAACCTCAGTTAGGTAGCAGTCCATTTACAGATGAGCTCCCCCAAGAAATAAAGAGCAACTCTAAAGCAGTGGCTCTTTTTCACACCTGCATCCCCCGCCTGGCAGAATCTGACATATAAAAAGGACCCATTAGATGTTTAATGAACGTCTATGAAAATCCATTTTTGGCTTACTTTTGTACAGTGCCTGCACCAAACAATTGCTCAATAATTATGTGACAGTGCTGGACAGAATAAGGGACTCTTCCTGGAGAGGCGGTGGCTTATTTACCAGGCCCCTGTGTGCCACCAGCTTGTAAGCCACCTCCGTGAGACATGCCTCTTATAAAACCCCCAAGATGAAATACACTGCTCCAATCCCCGTTCCCCTGGCACTGTGCCTGAGCTTCCATTCTGGCATTTCTCACACTGTGGGGACATCACAGTGACCTGTGCTCCTTAAGAGTAAGAAAGGTGTCCCACATAACATATCGCCAGGCACAGACGTAGGTTCTGCAGGATGTTCGCCAAAAGGATAATGAGTTGTAAGGGACTGCCCTGTTTTGGCAGTGGCCGGCAGAGGGAGGGTGCAGTAGGCTGGGCCCACACTCACCACTCATCCTTCCCACCCATCTCCCCAACACTGCCTAGTAGTAAAATCAGCCAGAAGCAGGTAAATAGAGGCCTCTAGTCTGAAAAATAAGGCTTCTAATTTGAAAAGTGCCTTGTCCTTTTAAAAGAACTTGTCAGTCTAATCTTTACTACAAACCCAGGAGGTAGGAGGACAGGAAATTACTATACCCGTTGTACAGATGAGAACAGTGATAAATGCTGAGCAAGTAAGCGATAAACGTCAAGCAAGATCCAGTCCAAGGACAGAAATATCAACCTTTTTCCCTACAAAGGCCTTCTTCTTGTGTTGACACAGACATAAGACATCCTTCATATTTTCAGCATTGCCCTGTGAGTAGCCAGGGGCTTGGAGACCAGGTGCTTCTGGAACTGTCCTCTCGGCAAGCCTCCAGGATCCAGGGCACAACCCAGATTGACTTTTTTTTTTAAACTGACTTAAAAAAATCAACTTTATCGCAATGTAATTTACATACAATTAAATTCATTTGTTTTAAGTGTTCAATTTGTTTTGACAAATGTAAACACCCATCCAACCACTATATGATATAAAATCAAGAGAGATATATACCTAAGAGTTTTCTTTTTGGAATCCAGTCCTGTGAATCTGAAGGGCCTACACCACCCCTGTACCCCGAATAGCTCCACCACTCTAACAAGCTCCCTTGTGCTGCCCTTAGTGGCCACACCCTCCCCTTATGCTTCACCCCTGACATTCACTGGTCTATTAATTTTTGTTCCTATAGTTTACAAACTTCGTATTTTGAAAACAATTCAGGAAAGATGTTTAGACAATATCTAGTTTTCAAGCACTAACTTACTTTGATTCTCTTATTTTGAGATTAATCTAATGCCTTCTTTAGGAAACTCTGTAATGATCTGGTTATTTTATTCATCCAAGTGAAATCAAATAAATACTTTTTAACATATTAAGAAATGAATAATCTTAATATAGGAAAATTAATCCTGGATATTTTCAAAATATGTTGAAATAGGATAATAACAGTTCACAAACAAATGCATTTATTTAAAACTGACAGCACAGCCATTGGGTATTTTTCTTTAAATACAAAAGATATTGCTACTTTTATCATTAAGTCTGTGTATTCTAGAATTATAGATTACTTCAGTCAGAAATGTAAAAGCTTTTTTTTAAGCCCAAGTTAAATAGAGTTCAGTCAGGTCACCTTGAAAAATTTAAAACATGAAGGTAGGAAGCTGAGTCACTTTCTTATCCTACTTTTTGGCTAGATAAAAAAGATGAAATTTCCTAATTTTTTCAATTCCCATATGATTACTCAACTTAGAATAAAACCAGCCAGAGGTAGAACATTTTATTTCTACTTGCAGAAGAAGAAAGTGGTGTTAAAAGGAAGATTATCACTTCACAATGATTACCAGGAAAGTGAAAAGCAGTAGGAATAATTCTGAGGTCAGTTTAGAGAATTTGGGATGTTCCATCTGGGGTTCTAATATATGGGAGCCCACCACAGGCATAGAATCAAAGCTCAGCCTTGCCATCCACTAGCGCTGGTGATTGTGGGCAAAATTATGTGACCTTTCTGATCCTATATCCTCAGGTGTAAAATGTAATCATATCCTTAATTTTGAGCATTGTTTTGAGGGCTACCTGAGATAATGTACAGTAAGTGTGCAAAAAGTGAGAGAGCTGATTGAAGAAGGTGTAGGAGTAGGCAGGGGAAATTGATCATGGCTGGAATGATGATAAAAATACTACAGACATCACTGTCGGAGCCAGTGCTTTTCCTCAAGATTTAACGACGGACACTGGTGTTTAGAATGCTCACAAGTATTGAAGCTGGAAAGCATATATGGCCCATTATAACCAAAAGTATTAAAAAAAAAAAAAAAAGCAGGTTATGTGACTACATGCCTAAATGCTATACAATCAGTAATAAGAATTCTTATTTTGTACATAACTCGCTTTCCAACATACTATTAAATTCAGATTATCCTTTCAATGGTTTTAAACAAATTGTGGTGACTCAAGTAGCTTTAAATAAAAGAAAAACTATCTATTTTTATAAAATGAATAATTTTTATTCAAGCTAAATCCATGGGATTTGTAAAAACCAGTGGCATCTATTCAAAAGGACCTCTAATGGCAGAGGCCATTACGGGGCTGATTTTATGCAAGTTAATGTGGTCGTCTTTAAGTGCTTACACATACAAACACCAGTCCCTCTCCACGGGTAGTAGCCATTTAAGCTCCTAAGTAAGAAACCCAGTTCCACTCACTTGACTACCTGGGGGGAGAGCGGGCGGCTGGATGAGGAAGGCTTTTACGGGCTGATTCATTCAGTCATAAATACCCTGAGTGCGTGCCTCTGTGTGGGGGGACTGGATTCTTACTGCCAACATGGCCTCACTGTAACTCTCCATTAAAAAATTTTTTGTAATATCTTTCTCTATATGTCCCATTGAAATTTCAGTCCTCCTTCAAGCTCATGGTTCATGCCACCCCTCCTACTGCAAAAACCCATTCCTGATCCTCTGTCCCCTCAAATCTCAACCGCAGTCTGAATTAAGCAATCTGTTCCTACTGCCCTTTGATTAGACTTCACTGTTTACACCTATCACGTTAGGGGCACCTTTACACTGCCACAGGAAGTGTACACTCTCTTCATCTAAAAACATCTAAGAACACAAAGTGAGGTAAGTGCTAGGCCTTGACGGGGTATTCACAATAACCAGATGAACAAAAATAGGCATTGGGTGAAAGCTCATGACTCAGTGGGGCAGTCAGTCAATGTGTAAATTTCAGCAACACAGCCTGTGCAATACAATAATGACAAGTACAAAGTAGGCTAATAGTATGGAAAGGAGAGAGGTGAAGCATGGCTTCATAGAACGGCATGCTTTGAGGGCATCTTGTAGGATAAGTAGATACCAAGCAGAGGAAAAGTCAGGTTTGGTTAAGAAGGCATGAAACAGTTAAGAAGGCATGTAACTTTATACCCATGTTTTCATTAGTCATGACAGATGAAAAGTTCTAGAGATCTGTGCTTACAGTTAATAATACTATACACTTAAAAATTTGTTAAGAAGGCAGATCTCACGTTATGTGTTTTTTTAGTGCAATTTTTTTTTAAAAAAAGAGGTTATGAAACAGCACCGCATGTCTGGCAACTTGCAAAGAGACTGCTGTGACTCAAGTTGATGAAGGAAAACAGGTAGAGGAGGAAGCAGCTAGAGAACAGGTTATAAACCAGAAAAGAACGGGCCTTGTGGCCCATGTTTGGGCTTTTAACATTCTGCAGAGCTGCAGAGAAATAGGATCAGACACGCATTTTAGAAGACGAACTCAGGTGGCAAGAATGGGAGATAGATGGACTGACAAGAGCATGTATGGAAGCTGACACACTCTGATGCAGCCTACATGAGACCAGAAGACCTGGGTTAGGAAAACGGTACCAGGGCAGGACCATCTTCTAAGACACTTGTCACTTTCTGGAGTTATTTGGTTAATTCATTTATTGTCTTTCCCGCTGAAATATAAGCTGAAAGTCAGGGACTCTTTCTGTCTTGCTCAGAGCTGTATTTCCAGTCTTAGAACAAGGCTTCGTATACAACAGGTGCTCAGGAAAAACCTGCTAAATCAACGAACAAATCTCTCGAGGGCAGGAACCCTGTCTAATCCTTGACACTTTCAGAAGAACGTTGTAAAGAAAGGATGCTCACAATTATGTCTTGGATTATTCCAAATGACACCACCGAATTTTCTTGGTGAGAAGTCCAAAGACAGAATTCTTCCACCCATCAGCTTCGCACACCCGACCTGGACATCTAGCAATCCAGCTGGGCCCTTTTTGCTTCATAAATCATTGCTGGCAACAAAGCCTCAGCAATTAGAGCTCAGCTGTTGCTTGTGCTGACAATGGTCAGAACAGCCATCAACAGAGTGTGGCCCTCCTATGTTTGTATGACAGCATTAACACAGACCATGAGGGCTGCGCATGTTCCTGTGGGCGCAGCCACTGCCAGAGGCGAATTAGCAGGCTGATGGCCCCCACTCCTCTGCAACCCACAACCCGGTACCTCTGGTGGGGGGTTTTCCCTGCAGAGGAAGGATAAAAGGACTTAATTTCTCTGTTATATTAGGAACCCATAATAGGGAAGATTTATAACTCTTCGGAAGTGGAATACACCAAGCTCAAGCCATCAGCCTGACTAACCCATCCGCATGGTCTGCACAAGTCCTCCAGCTGCCAGCTTTAAGTTAGCTGCCTGCTCACAGAAACTCTTCCAACAGTATGTTTTTAGAACTCTTCTGTACCTTTGAGAAGCAGGCATGAGGGTGTCTCCACGCCAATCAATCAAGAATCCTTTTGGGGGGACCTACAATATTCTGTATTCAGTATGCAACAGCATAAGCACAGGCCCTAAACCAAGACTCAGGCCTGGGGAAACACTGACTCTGCCACCCCCCAGCCGTGTGAACTAGCATAAATAACCTTCCTGAGTCTCAGTGTTCCCATTTGTAAAATGGAATAATCCTCCCTGCCTTACAGCACTCCAGAGATTAAATGAGGAAACCCATGTAGCATGACAAACATGGTGCCTGATACTCAACAGGCACTTAATGAATGCTCGCTCTGTCCCTTACCCCGGGTGGGAGCGGGAGGTCAGTGAATAGCCACCTTGTAAGGAGCAGGCCTCGTGGGGGTCTCACACACAGGGAGAAGAAAGCAGTTCATAGAACAGAAAATATGGAAACTGACATCTTGCTGCTCCTGTCTCTTCTACGCTTGAGAAAGTTACAAAATGTGAGTGACAGCGGCTGTCCCAAGAACATAAAGGAAGCTAATCTGTTTGCAAAGGGAGGAAATAGCACAGGATGAAGATTGTAAGTTGTTTGAAGCTTCTTCCCTAATTACCAATCATAATGAAAATTTAATTGCCAAGTTAAAAGCAAATTTCACTTTTTCTGTCAGAGAATCTCTGCAGAAACTGGCACATTTTGTTTGAAGAGGAAATCAAAGTTACTTTAATGCGTAAATGAGATCTGAGGAGCTGCAGATGTTTCCCTGGGAGTAACAAGCTCCTAAACTCTGTCCTACTGGGTTGCAGCTATGGCTACAGGGAGAAAGAAAAATGGTTTTGAGCTGAGTACCGTTAACTCAAAGTTGTGGAGGTGATTCAAATTCCAAGTACTCCACTGCTAGGCACTCTGGGGGCAAGTGGGGAGAGGGTGGTACAGAGAGAGGGTCTCTAGCATTAAGGAGCTTACAATCAAGTAGGAGAGAGAAAACCAGGAAACAGCCCAAGATTAGGAAACTAAAATTAAGAAAACTTTGGGTCATAAAAGAATAGCAAGAAACAAAAAGGTAACCCTTCTGAGGGTGCAAAAGGCTGCTCACCTGCAAGGTGCTGGTGAGAAAGTTGTCCTGGGAGACAATGTCCACAAAGAAGTCTGCGGGGATCTCGCCAAGCTGGTGGTACAAGATGGAGATGAGGTTGATGTAGAGGGTGTGGTGCTTCACCATGGCCTCCTCTGACCGGCACAGGAGGTTCAGGAGCCGCTTCCAGTGCTCAAATGCCTCGTACACATTCCCCAGCAGGAAGCACACAAAGGCAAACTGAAGTTCACCTGAAAGGTACAGAGAAGAGAAATGATCCTGAGGGAGAAGAGTATCTGCTGACTCTGTAAGGTTCTCAGTCCCACTGGACTTCAGCAAGGGGTGGCCTTTTCTCCTTGTCACTCCTGCAGAGCCTAACATGGGGTTTTGCATCAAGCAGGTCCTCAATAAAAGTTTGCTGAACTGCTATAAATTTGAATTTCTGTAAAATCAGACTGAGAGAGAAGAGGTACATTTAAGTATTTGTGTGGCATTTAAAGTGTTTACAAAATGTGCCCAAGGATATAATGTCAAGTGGATCCCAAACCTCACTGCCTATCAGAACTACGAGAAGGGCTTGCTGAAAATAAAGCTGCCCAAGCCTCACCCCCAAAGATCCTGGCTGAAGATAGATGACTGGGCCTCAGTATTTGTAACTCTAATTCTGATGCCAATGACCTGCTTCAAGTTCAGGGAAATGCTGTATTACACCACAGAATCCTGAGCACAGCTCCACAAGGTGGTCACAGGAAGGTGGTTATTTGCCTCACTGTATAGACGAGGTCAAGGGACTTGCCCAAGGTTTCACATCTAATGCTTGCAGATGTGAAACAATGAAAAGATAAAACATTTCTTATTGGGTGAGAACAATTTTAGAGTTTACCAGAACAGGAAAATTTGTGAATACTTGTCCCAGGGTTAGCCCGTCAGCCAGATTATTTTTGTTTGTTTAATCACAGGGCTCTGTGATTTAACATCTATGAGCAGGTTGCTGGCAAAGAGCATGGGCTCTGGAGCCAAACTGCCTGGGTTCAAATCTCAGCTCCACCACTTAGCAGTTGTGTGACCCTGGGCAAGATACTTAGTCTGTTTATGCTTCAATTTCCTTATTTAAAAGTTTAGTGAAGATTAAATGAATCAATGTAATACAGATAAAGTATTTAAAATAACGTATGGCACAAAGCAGCATTCAAGAAATATTAGTTATTATTTCCACTTTTCCACTGGATGCCTGTCTCAAACAAGGAGACCTCATGATCCAGATGCTGTTGTTCTTGGGCAGGCAACTGGGTCTTTGGTTATCAAGATATACTTTTGCTGATCAGAGACGTTCTGTCTGGCTTCAAATTTAATGAGGGCTTCTGTGGACCTATATGTAGGCCATAAAAACAACAGGTGCACTCAACACCAATTTCCTCTTTAAATGCATGGTGTGTGATTTGTCACCTCTAGGGATCTGGAAAAACTAGTTCCCTGTCCCGAGGCCTTTAGAACTAAGTTTGGTTTCTGTGACTAGCTACCTGCCTGGTCTAGATATATAAGACATTTGATCAATATTTTCAAAACAGGCAGTCAAGTTTTCTTTGTATGGTAGAGGTTAACGATGTGCTTTTTCGGTCGGCTTTTCCTAGTAAGTTTGTGGAAATATGAGCTTATTCTCTGAATTTAGGGCATTTATTTAAATTCATGCATTTCTGGCCTAGTCTAAAATTATATTTTGAGATCAGAAATAATTGCAAAGAGCTGTCATGAAGATATAAAGTTATCCCTGCAAGAAACCTTTTCACAAGATTACTTTAAAGAACTGAAATGTTTTAGAGGTGGAAAACAGGATTTCTGCTCATTTTTAAGCCAGAATTTCAATTGTTAGTTATTAAATGAAAATACCATGTAATGCATTAAGATGCACTCATTAAAATGTCCCTTTTTATCAGATGAGCCAATGATCTAAAAGGCCCTAAATTCAAATTTCTCACTGATCTTCCAATAGAAAAATATGCAAACACCTGGAAAACTTGTAAAAAATATATAAATAGCTGTTAAAGATGTGATGAATGTTTGCTGTCACTAGTAACTGAAGAAAACAGTTGGTCCTTAAACAATGCAGGGAGTTGGGGAGCCGACATCCTCTACAGTCAAAAATCTGCATGTAATTTTTGATTCCCCCAAAACTTAGATAGATGTCCCTCAATATCCACAGAGGATTAGGTTCAGGAAACCCCCTTCTATACCAAAATTTGTGAATGCATGGCGTAGATGAATGCACACAGTAGGCCCTTTGCATCTGGGGACTCCCAACTGGGAATCAAAACAGTACAGGTACTTAATTGAAAAAAAATTCTGTCCCTAAGTGGACCCATGCAGCTCAAACCTCTGTTGTTCAGGGTCAACTGTAAATTGAAATAAGATGTCATTCTCCAACTATCCAGCTGGAAGACGCCTTTGCTAAATTGCCATGTCAAAGGTGACAGGCAACAGCCCCTAAGAGCTGGTGAGGATGCACGACCTTCTCTTGGCAACATGCATGCTGTGATCCAACAATTTCAACCCACACATATGCGTAAATACACATAAGGATGCTCACTAGACAGCACTTATAAAAGGGAAAATGGGAACATCTTAAAGGTCCATCAGCAATGGGCTGGTTCAGTAACTGGAACTTAAGCAGCCGCTAAAGAAGAGTAACTGTTTCAGTGGCATAGAAAAAAGTGTATATTAAAGTAAATTACAAAATAACACACTGTAATTATGTTTGTGTAAAAAATCACATATACACACAAACATAACTGAGTTTAAAAAGGACTAAAAGGAAATACATAGAAATTAATATAAAGACTGAAATAAAATAGCTATTATCTATATATTTATATCTGTATCTATATACATGTAAAAAATAGAAAGTAAAAATACCAAAATGTAAAAAATGGTTATTTCTAGGCTGCGGAAATTAAGTGTGAATTTTATTGTGTGTGTGTGTTTTCTATGATGAATATATTTTTGTAATAATGGGGAAAAAAAAACTATAACAATTTTTTAAAAAGTCACTGTCCTGGTCTAAGCCAGCAAAGGGACCAACACCTTGAAAGAGTCAGGGACAAATTGAGGAGTGGAGTGGAGGCCTGGGAACCAGGAGCCCTCGGCTCTGATCTCATTTCAACCACTTAGCTAAATTCTTTCTCTCTATGGACCTCAATCTGTAAAATGAGGGGCTGGGCCATGTCAGTGGTTCCCAAACACAGGACTGTCTACATCCGGTTCACCCAGGGTTCCTGTTTATTACATAAATAGAGTGACAAATAAATCCCTGGGACCCCACTCCTGATCCTTTGAATCAATCTCCATGGTGAAGGCCCAAACACAGCTAATGAGTAAACAGGGCATGACTGCCTCTTAATCAGGTTTAGGAACCACTTTACTACATAACCCAAGATGTACCCCCTAATCTAATACCCCTCCCTTGGCCTACTCCCAAGGAGCCTTGGTCCTCCTCACCGAGTACATCCTGGGGGCTGCTGGGGAACTGCTTGCTGAGCACCGTCTCCAGAGCATAGCTCAGGTCCATGCTGTGCCTGGTTATCTCTGCTGGCGTGGCACCTGCCGGGAACATCTGTGTGGGTAGCTTGGAGAAGCGGATCTCTGTCCCGGCTTTGGGCTTCATCTCAGGCAGCCGGGCCAGGCCTTCCTGGTAGCTTTTGCACTCAGTGCCGCAGCGGGGTAGGTTCTGCTCCACCCGATCCTTGGTGTGTTTCAGGGAGAGCACAGGCAGCACCTCTGAGAAGGCACAGATCTGCCGGCTCTCAGGCTGCAGCCTCTCCATTGTGGCCTCGCTGATGAAGTTGGTGAGTGAGATCCACTTCTTGAGTGTCGTATATGGGTAAGGTCCCAGAAACTGGTCCAGCTCCTGGAGGTTGGCCCTCATGGCCTCCACCTCAGCCTCTGGAGCTGGGGAAAGGTCTACCTCTTCCTGGGCTGAGTTCCAGCGCAGGACTATCAGCCCCCGCTGCTGCAGGCTAAGGAAGAAGCCCATCCGAGGGCCCACATCCCTGGGATTGGCCTTGTTCACAGAACTGTAGTGGAGGAAGTGGATGCCTGGTGGAATCATCTTCACACCCCGGAACTTGGGCCCCACCTCCCAAGAGTTATAGTCAATGCCAAACTCTGTCCCCTTGGGCATATTCAGGATGACCACAGTGGCCCCTTCAAAGAAGAGGCTCTTGGCAAGCTCAGGGTCCATCTGCATAGCAGCCATGGGACCAGTGGTAGGTGAGCAAAAGAAGAACTCTTCTTATCTTTCAGAACTGAAAAAGAAAGCAATAAGAGTTCACTAAAATTTGGGAAAGAATGCTTCATTTGCTGAGCATTCTCTACATGTCAGATATGGAATCAGACCCCTGATATAATTATCTCCTTAATCCTTACCACAACCCTGCATCAATTTTACAGATGAGAAAAATGAAATTCAGAGAGAAGAGGACTTTTGTATTTTATTTTAATGAGCGAGAACAGTCACTTCACAGCTGGAAAGATATCAGAGAAGTGACATGTTCAAGGTTACCCAAGGACCTAAAAAGTCACACAAATTAGTGCCCTGCCCTCCAGGCCAGTGTTCTTCCCACTGTCCTCTCATGATCTACTCTCAGGCATCTCTCTCTCACAATGGAGTATGAAAGTAGAGGAGCCTGAATGGTCCACTCTAAAGTATAACTCTGCCTAAAACCTACCATTAGAGAGTCCCAGAAGAAATGAGAAGGATGACTGAATCAAGCACACGCCCAGTTTCCCACAGGCCTCGGGGAAAGACCAGAAATGGACAGAGGTTGAAAGGGGGTGCCCAGCATCTGAAATTCACAATAGACCCGGGAAGTGGAGAGCTTTATAACCACCAACCTCCCCCACTCCTTTCACACATAAAAACCTAAGTCCAAGGAGTGAAACAACTTCCCAAAGGGCCCACAGTCAGTGGCAACTCTGGACCACTTGCCCAGAATGGACTCAGATGGCATAGCTGGCCTAGGGTCAGTATTTAGAAGAGAAAGAGCTCAGAACACTTACTTTACCTATCTCTGAACTACCCATCCAGACATATTGTAAAACTGTTTGGCAGACAGACACTGCCTCTATGGTATTTTCAGCAATGGTTCCCACATTAATTTAATTAAAAACAAACAACTATCTGACCTTCTAGTTCCAAGACCCCTACCTATTCAATTTACCAAATAATCACTGGCTGCCTGCACTGTGCCAGAACCTTTGCTGGTCATGAAATAAAACATCCACAGAGTAAGACAGTCACCGCCCTTTAGGCACTTCCAATCTAGCTGGACATATGAACATGACCCTAAAATTTCACAAAGAGTTCTCAAGAACAGTTGCCTGCTTAGTTCTTTTTACTCTTTGTATTTTAAACAAACACAAAACAAAACAGTGAAGAAAGAAAAACTGACCCTTTTCCAAAAATGTTAAGGCCGAATTTTACTCTTAACTACAAAACACTACAAATGACTCACTTTAAATCAGCATTTATTTTCAAGCTTCAAGTCAAAATTCTTAATAGGTTAAGAAACAATTTAGAGAGTTTCAACCAGCATTATTTATTTTAAATGAAAAGAACAGAATTTAAAAATTAGAATATATCAGGAGTGGTAAAGAGAATTGTTTTCTTAAGCTTTGTGTGTTTGTACACACTCTTGGTTGTGACATAAAATGTATCTGTTATTGTGGGTCACGGCCAAAAAAAGTCTGAAAGCCACTGCTCTAAGTAATTTATATCATCATCTTCCTATTCCCAGCCCTGAATTCTGAAGGTACTTAATAAACATTTGCTAAATGCACAGCTATTGCATTTAGAGTAATTGCTCATCATTTAGCCACTTTCCCAGTGGCGTCTGTGTGTTCCTCCTCGATAATGACATTCCTTCAATCTAATTCCATCAGCCTGTAATTCTATTCATTATATCTTCAGCAGCTGGCACATGGCCTGACAACAAAGATGCCCTGGAATGTAGAAAGTCACATCCATCCACTTCTCTTCACCACCTCCTTAATCCAAACCACCACATCCCTCACCCAGAGCACTCGCCCCTTCAATCCATTCACCACCACAGCTGGAGTGACCTTTTCAAAATGCCAGTCTAAGCATGTGGACACTCATGCTTAATACCCTCTGAGTGGTCTCCCATGTGGTCTTGGAAAACCAAAATCCTTACCACGACCTGCAAGGCATGCATGATCTGGCCCCTGACAACTCCTCCAGCTTGTTTCATTCCATACTCCCCATGCAAGCTCTCTACTTGTCACATTGGTCTCTTTCAGACCCTCAAACGGGAGGCTCCCCTGTCTTGAAAACTCTTCCCTCTCTTCTTTGTCAAATCATTCTTCTGATCTCAGCTCAATATTCTCTCCTCAATAAAGCTTCCTAGGTCAGGCCTCTTGTGATACACTCTCCTGGTGCCTTATGTCTTTTCACTTCACTTATCAAGTCTCCAATTTTGCCTACGTTTAATAATGTTTCAAAGAGAGCTGCCACTGCCACGAGGTTTGTCTTTTTGTTCCTCTAGCACATACTAGACACTTGATAAATATTTACTTAATAAAAACATGATGTCCATTTAATAGTTGAGAAACGGGCTCCTTTCAGGGAAAGACCTTACCAGAAAAGTTGCAGACAGTCGGACAGAACCAGGTCGGGAGCAGCCAAGGTCTCCGGTCCCCAAGCTCTAAAGTTAGGAAAAAAGAGAAGTTGCCTCGGGTGTCCCAGGAGGTACTGGGGACCGTGTCTGTGGTGACGATTTCTCACGGATAAAGGCCTGTAGAGACACCAGGTCCGACCACTGGCCCACGGACACCAGCGAGGCGCCCAACTTCAGGGTATTCGGCGACCCCGGGCCGGGAAGACGGGTGGCCTGGAAAAACAGACTAAACCAGAGTTAAAGCAGGCCAGGAGGCTGCGCTTACCTGCTCCGGTCTCACCCCCCGGCTCAGGCACCACGGAAGCGCACCGGAAGTTTGACCGCGTTAACGCCGGACGAGAGCTACAGAAAAAGCGGCCGGGCAGATCTCTCGGTCGCGGGAGGAGCGGTCCGCGCATGCAGGTTCCGCCCCTAAAACCTTTTGCTTTTAGTTTCTCGTTTTAGCTCCTGAACCTTGGGTAATAACTTTTGTTAAACTGTGTATTTTATATTGCATTCCAGAAACACATCCACCAGCCGTGGTCCTTTGGTCTCAGTCATGGTCACGGAAGCTGGGGTCAAGGTCATAAGGGCTTAGTAGCCGCTGTCAGATGTTCAGTCATGCCAGTGTCTGCCTGACATTGTCTACCTGAGTGACAAGTGTCACAGCTAGTCCATTATCTCCCAATCTTACCTTCCAGCCACTCGCGGGCCTAAGAGAGAGCCTCAGACACCCAGCTCCCCACCCAGAGAGAACCAGTTTCAGGTCTGAGTCACCACCTCGGACTCTCCAGCCATAACCACCTAGTGTCCTCCTGCAACACACAGGTCTAGTCCGATATCTCGGTAAGGCTATAACTGTTCCCTGAGGGTGGGAACCTGCCGGTCTTGTTCCCTACTGTTTCCCTGGAACTCAGCACAAAGTCAGGCACAAAGGTTCAACTCATTACATATACAATATTATGCATTCAACTGATGACAGTAATTTGGTATAAATAAATAGCTTCTATTTGGGGGACTAGCCCTGTGCTGGGTGGTTGTACTAGTCAGGGTCCAACCAAGGAAGGAGAGCCAATAGGAGATATACATTAAGAGATTTATTGCAAGGAATTGGCTTATGTGATTGTGAGGTTTGGCTAGATAAGTCCAAAATTCATAGGGCAGGCTATTCATATGTGATTTCTAAACCGTACATTACACTGGTAAGAAGGTATTAGCATCCTCAACCTACAGAAGAGAAAACTGAGGCTCAGGGCAGATACAGAGCCAGAGAGTGGCAGAGCCAGGATGCAAACCAAGGTCTGACTGGCTGTTCTTGTCCCTGTGCTGCTTGCTGCTCCTTAGCTTGTCTGTCACATTTCCTCAGCGACACTGGACACACCAATCTGTCTCAGTCAAAATTCATCTCTTAGCGGTTACAGACTAGACTGGGCCCTGCAGTCATGGTTAGTCACAGTGAGCTGCTGCAGGATTAGCCAGAAATGGCTCCCATCAGTCACAGTCACGCGTGTCAATCTCAACCTGTCCTGTCAGTTCCATTTCCTGCATGAAGAAGCTCTGCTTCCTCCTTACAGCTTCCTATTCCCAGTCTTATGTGCTGAGCTCTGGTCTCGGAGCTTCCTATTCCAGCCAGGCTCCCCATTTTTTCAGAGATTCCAGGGCACTGAATTATGGGCACAGAAGCTTTATATGGTGGCCCAGGAATCCTACCTGTGAATCACATGTCCATCCAGATCAGGTTTCTCAACCTTGGTATTATTGCCATTTGGAGCCCGTGCATTGCAGGATGTTTAGCAGCATCTGTGGCCTCCGCCCTCTAGATGCCAATAGGACCCCTCTGTTGTGGTGACATTGCAAAATATTCTCTGGTGGTAGTTCAGGGGGCAAAATAACTCTCCCTGCATTGAGAACCACTGATGTAGATGAAACAACCGCAGGTTATTCCCAAGCAGCACAGAGGCTGACCCTATATTTATGGGAGACAGAGACACAGATCAAGTGTGTGTGTAGACCCAATGTTTGCAAGCCAAGTTCTATAGCAGAGCCCCAAGGGAAAGGCTAAAGGGATGGCTAAAGGAGCCCTCCTGGGAAAATTTAGGAAAGGAGTCTCTGGTAATTGACAGGAGTCTGCAGAGGGTTGAAGAATTGCTTTTCACTGCATAGCATTTTGTATCATTTAATGAATTATCTCTAAAAACAAAAGAAATAATATCAGTATTTGAAATTATAGGGAAATGTTCAGGATGTAAGTTTCAAAAAGTATTTAGAATGATATGTACAAGGTAACTTCAATTCTGGAAAAATACATGTTCATGGCAAGTCTGAAAGAAAGTGCCCCAAATTATTAACTGGTTCTCGCTTGTGAGATGTTGGGCAATAAAGGTGGTCTGGCCCTGGCTGGTGTAGCTTAGTGGATTGAACACCAGCCTGCAGACCATAAGGTCGCTGGTTTGATTCCTAGTCAGGGCACATGCCTGGGTTGTGGGCCAGGTCCCCATTCAGGGGCACGCAAGAGGCAACCACACATCAACATTTCTCTCCCCTTCTCCCTCCTTTCCCCCTCTCTAAAATTAAATATATTTTTAAAAAAGGTGGTCTGGGGTGACTCAGGAGAATAAAAAGGAAAGTGCTGGTACATGTGCTTCAGGTAGTCCAAGGGGCAAGTTTACATTTTACAGGGATTATGGTTCTTTAATTTTAATTTTTTTGCATTTATTTTTATGATAATCTCCTTTGCCAAGTGACACTAGTTTTTTCATTTGCAGAATATAGTTTTCTTTTTAAGTAAACTTTTTTTTAAGAGTCCATTTTGTAAAAAGTGATGTCACTAAGAAGCTAGGAGGTGTGTATGGGGATATGATAACACGTGAAGGTGGTGGGCAGAGGCTGAGGCTGGGAGTCGCTGTCTCCATCATGCACGAGGCGCCCATGGAGGGGACTTGCAGGAAGAGACCCAGACGTAGGGGCTCTTCTGTCGGGGAGCGGAGCTGGAATCATGCTGTTCCTCCACATGCCAAATCCCTCTGTGTCCCAGGGCCCACACGCTCCCCCATGTCTTCTGCCTAGAATGCTCATACCCAGCTTCTTCACCTTCCTGAGTAAATCTCTTCATTCAGCTAAAAAATAACCTCCCCGGGGAGGTGGTAACTGGCCACCCTATTTAAGGCAATCTCCTTCAGTGACCATCCTCACCCCTTCTGTGCATGTCCTTCCGGTGCTGATCACTCAGAATTGTCTCTGACTTGCCTGTTTTCCCCACTAGCCTGTGAGTTCCTGGACAGCAGGGACTTTGTCTTACTTGTTGTTGTAGCTGCAAAGCCTAATGCAAGACCTGGACCATATTCAGAGCTGCAAATATTTGTTGAAATTGTACTAGGTTGGGATCTCTCCACTCTAGTTTTTGCCTTTCTCACAATGCCACTTGTTCTGGTAGTCAAGCGGGGGGCGGCAGGGGGGGGGAGGGGGGAGAGACAGGCACACCAAGGCAGTTTGTGGTTCAGCATCAAACACATTTATTTCACTTTTATTGAGTATACAAGAACAGAGAGCACACGCATACAGCACGGAGCACTGAGGTGGGGAAGCGTGGGGACCAGAGAGGAGAGAGGGGTGTGAGTCAAAAGGAACAGGACAGCATTGCAGTTGTTTGGTAAGGTGCTTTCGGAAAAAGAAAAAAAAAATAGAGTGATGTTGCTCATGCAGTTTCAGACCGGTCTTGGAATGTACTTGCAGAAAGGTCAAAAATTGAAACAGGTCCTGGCACTTCCTGTACCCTCAGATGGAAAAGATCCCGAGAGAGCAAAGTAAAATGAAAATCTGGGATGGGAGAGCAGAAAAAGCCCCCAGAGAGCATCTGGTTTATCCTCATCATTTTACAAGTGCAGAAACTGAGGCCCCAAAGAGGACACAGGACTAGTTCCCTGTCACATGGTGCTGAGCCAGGATGGCCACCCAGCACTCTCGGCTGCCCTCTGGGACATTTTCCACTAAGCTACATGGTCTCTTGGGTGGAGAGGCAGCACAGAAAGGATGAGAAACATAAAAAAGAAAAAAGGAAAAGTAGGTTGAAGACAGACAAGACAAACGTCTATATGCTCTATGAAGGATGGGGAGGAAACAGTGCCCTAGATTTCAGCTTTGCAGCTCCCCTCCTCCCTGGTGGCACCGCTTGCCTCTCCATGGAAGGAAGGAAGGAAGGTCAGAACATGTGCGGGACAGAGATCTCCACAAGCCCTGGCTGTCCCATGAGCTAAGCCTGGTCCCTTCATCCCTGCAATGAAGCCGCGCACCCAGGGTCTGTCGGCAGATACAGAACCCAGAGAAAATATTCTCCCTCTGAAGTATGTTCAGAATACCCAGTTCTGGCAGAGACACGGTGCCTGAGCCAAATTCTGGGTGGCCCAGAGAGGGTGGAGCCAGTCCAGTTCTCGGCCCGAAAAGGTAGGAGCTTTCAGGTTGAGAAGGGCAAAAAGGAGGTTCGCACTTCTTTGACCAGGAGTGTGAAAAGAACCTGGTGCATGAAAAGTATGCTGTCACACTCAGGGGGAGCTGGAGCGGACCACTTGGTCTGCTCTGGGGGTATGTGGCTGACTCCGCCACCTGGTCCCCAGGTTCAGGGCTCTTTGCCCTCTCTCCATCCCATTTTTGTCCACAGAGGTACACTATTGTGGTTCTTGTTCTGCCTCAGGTCAGCACCAACTAAGTAGCTAAGCATATATGTCCTTGGGGTAACTGATAAGCAAGGCTGGGCCTACTGGAGGGCATCCGTGGGCAATGTTCCCTAACTGGAGAGAGTGTGGGAATGTTCTCAGAAGGGCCAGCCACAGTTAGAAATGTAAGGTTGGCCCAGGGGCCTTCCCCGGTGCCTCCATGCACCCCCACGCCCACTCTCTTTCAGCCCAAGAATAGTGCCTGGCACAAGCAGGTATTCAATACATATTTGCTGAATGAATTTATCAACTGCTTTAGAAGCAGGACTGGGGGTAGGCGAGACGGGACTGAGAAATTAAAGTGCAGTGGGGACACACTCCCTCAGAAGGGGACTTACTGAGCTCAGGGGAGCTGCTTGTGGCGGGAAAGCCTGGAAAAGCCCCCGTGCGCCAGAGGTCAATGCCAGGCTTTTGATGGAATTTCTTCAAGGGCGTCTGCGGTCTTGAGGCAATTTCTGGGACCCCGGGGGCACAGGCTCAGACGCTGAATAAAGGTGAGACCTCCAAAGCCAGGGTCCTACATGTGGCTGGAGACTTTGGGCAGCACTGCCTTTCACCTTCAGCTTGTTCTGGGGTGGGCAAAGCCTTCGGGAATGCACTTTTGACCTATCGGGGCCCACCCTGGGTTCACGGTCTCTAGCATGGCTGCTTTGGCCCTGGAAGAAGAGAATGATTCAGACAGAATACAAGAGTGGTAAAGGGAAAGGCTGAGCTGGAGATTTTCAGACAGCCAGATTAAAGCCACCATCCCCTGCAATGGCTAGGGGGCGTCACCTCCCTGGGGATGGGGAGTTAGCTGTCACAATTCGGTCAGGGAAAGGCAAGACATGTGGCAAAAAAAATAAAAATAAAAATAGAGGACTGAAAACGGAGGCAAGGGAGGTGGGGGGACTGAGCCAGCGGATCTGCAGCAAAACCCTAACTCTAGACCCCACACCTGAGCACAGACCAGGCCCTGGTTGCTACTGCCCAGGGGAGAAGGCATCTTGGACTACATCTGCGTTGCTTCCTTCTTGCCAAACCCCTGCCTCTCCATCTGGGGACCCCTCCCCTCCCCACCAACCAACCAATGACAAATATCACACACTGTATTACTACACTGAACCGTCATCTCCTACTGTGAGCAGCCCACAGCCAGAGTCCAGGTCTCCTTGGCTGGGCCGGTTCAGTGAGATCTAGGAACCTTGGGATACATCAATCACAGTCAGATAATTATAAGTTTAAAATGTCAGCTTCATACTTACCAGCACTGTTTATTTTAATATTTGTTTCCTGTTATATGTAATATACATAACTTAAAAGCACATCCATACAAATCTCCTACAAGCTGCACCTTCATAATGAGAACCCATAAACATACAATGTCTACTTCCCTTCCTGTGGCTTGGTTTTCTGTTCTTGCTTTTTTTTTTCTCCTCATTTCAAGTGAGAGTCATCTGCAGTGGCCCTTGGCAGGACCGGGACACAGATGGTGAGGGGTACAGGGTTGGGAGAGAGGAGGAGGGAGCTGAGACAGGAAATGACGACAAGACTTGTGAGGGGGAGGGGAGGCAGAAGAAAGGGAGGTGGATTTTGCAGCCCAGTGTCAAGACCCATAAAGTAATGATCCAGTGTTCCTCCTCCTCCTTTCCAAGTGGCGAGTTTTCTTTCTTTCTCGGAAAACAGTTGATGGTGTGTGTCTTGCTGCTGCGACTTATCTTGCTTTGCTGCAAAAGGGTTTTCCTTTGCACTTGAGTGGGCAATGGGCGCTGCAGAACCAATGGAATGTTCGTCCACTAGATGTAACGTGCAGGTCGTACTGCACTTCTACAGTCATCGTGGTCTGGATTGCTTAGGTTGTTCCGCAGGGCTTCGAAGGGGAAAGCGAGGGATTATTGGCATTATAACTTTTTCCCTGAAAAACCCCACCAATTCTTCAATTTGTCTGCAAAGGAAATGTAGGTGTTCAGATGTTGGTTGTTGCTGTTGGCCGACTGATTGGCCAGCCCCCAGAAGCAGTGCAAGGACGCAGTGTTTCCTGTATATATATCTATATCTATATATATCTATATATATATTTATATGCTTTTCCTTTCCCAGTCTCTCATCAGTGACAGTACGTCGCAGCTGGGACATCGGTGTTGAGTCGGAGAATCCAGAACGAAGGCCCCTTCTTAACGCTTCTCTGGCTTGGGTTGGACCAGAAACGCCAGCATCTCTTCACAGAGGTCAGGATTCCTGGGGCCAGAGGTGTTGGGAGTGGGGAGAGCACAAAGGAAGGAGGGGGACAAGAAAAGTTAGTAACTTTTCATCACTCATCTTTAAATACACAAGAGGTCATTTTTAGCTAGCCTTTACCATGTGTCCTTTATTATGACCCAGGAAGGCAGAGTGACTTGTCTAAGGCCACACAGCTTTTAAGTAGCAGCTGAGAACTGAACGCATAGCTGTCTGCCTCCAAAGCCCATGCATGTTTGCTTGTTTGTTTCCAGGAAGGAAGTATCTTTTCCTTTGGCCTGAAAATCTGTCCAAGTTTTCTTTAACACTGAGAAGTTAATATCACAGTTGGTTCACTTTTTCCCCCATCATCTCTCAGTTCTAAGAAATGTTTAGCTGAGACTGCAGATGTTCTTCTTTTGTTTGTTTTTCCTTTCTGTTCTCCATGGATGGGCCTGCTGTGTCCTGGGGTTGAAACCCCAGAGGGCAGTGTCTAAATCAAGAAACTGGAGTTTGGATTTGACTCCAAAACATAGAGGTGAAGGGCGTGGGCTCTGCAGCCCTGACTCCTGAGTTCAAATCCCACTCTACAGCCTACTAGCTCTGGGCGAGTTTCTTAACCTCGTTTAGACCTCAGCTGCGTCCTGTGTAAGATGGGTCCTCCCTCATGCAGTTATGAGGATCCAAAACAAGGATCGGCATACAGTAAGTGCTAAACAAATACTGCCTGTTCTTGTTACTACTATTGTTGTTAACGTAACCACATACTATTCTGATCTCCTTGAGAGCAAAGGCTGCCTTTTACTTATCGCTCTTTCCAGTACCTGACTCTATGCCCAGCACATAGCAACTACCCAGAACTATGTAACAGGTGGTGGGTCATTCTTGCCTTTTCCTCACTCACATGTGGTCAAGTGCTAGTAAAGTCATATAAATGAGGTTCTTCCCGGCTCATTTCCCGAGATGGAAAAGCAGGCCCAGGTTCAGTGACTTAGTAAGTTTGTTAGAACCAAAGGCTCCTGCTTTGGAACAGGTCAGTTATTTTTCCCCCATTTAATTAAAAATTTGAAGGTAAGAAAGTCCTAGGAAGCTGGGTAAGTGCCACCCCCTTCCTGGCCAGGTTCGGGAGACAGGAGGCAGGCCACTGGGAGATAAGGGAGCAGAGGCCACACATCTGGCCTGCGAGGTTGCCGAAAAAAAGGAAATGTGCGATATAAGGGTGCTTCCCACACTCACGGCAAGAACTTCAAGGAGGAAGAATTCCCAGAAAGAAGACTGAGGTGAATGAAGCAGAGAAAGACGTTACTGGAGGACTCAGGGAGAGCAGATGAATACCAGGAAGATGGAACCCCACGTGGCAACAGGGCCCCGTGCGCCTGGCTGGTGGTGGAAGTTTAAGGTCTGACTTACTCAGGACTCTCCTCACCTCTAAATGTGGCATAACCTCAAGGGACAAGGAAGCAGGTTCACCTTGTCAAGCACCTTCTGTCTGTGAGACATGGCCCTGGTGTGTCACTGCTGTGGACCAAATGTTTCAGTTGCCCCTGCAAATTCACATGTTGAAGCCCTAACCCTCCAGGTGATGGTATTTGGAGGTGGGGCCTTAGGTCATAACGATGGAGTCCTCATAAATGAAATCAGTGCCCTTGTAAGAAGAGACGTGTGGGAGGTTATCTTTCTCTGCTCTCGGTCATGAGAGGACACATAGAGAAGACAGCTGTGGGGAAACCAGGAAGTGGGCTCTTGCTAGGAACTAAACTGGCTGACACCTTGATCTTGAACTTCCCAGCTCCTATAACTGTGAGAAATAAATGTGTGTTGCTTAAGCCAGCCAGTCTATGGTCACAGATGTTGTTTAATTATTATAGGGCTCTGCTTTAGAGATTAACTCCATTTTGTAGATGAGGAAGCCCAGGCCCAGGGAGGGCCACCTGGGCACACTGCTAGCAAGGCGTTTCTGGCCCCGAAGCCTGGGTGTGTTCTTTCTGCTCAATTCTGTTACTTTCTGAAGACTTTTGTCTTACAATGGCAGGCTGCACTTTAAGTGTGCTCATCAGTCAATAAGGTGTAAACAGGACTCTGGGCACATGAGACATCTTCAAAAGCCCACAGATACTCCAGAAGTACCAGGGACATCAAAAGAATATAGTACTATAATTTATCCTTCTTAGTTTATTGCAGAAGAGTCCGAATGAACAGTATTTTGTTAGCCTACTTTAACAGTAGTAATAGTCATAACTTTTATTGAGTACTTACTATGCGCCAGGCACTGTGCTAACTACTGCATATTTATGACCTCAGTAAGCCTGTGAGATAGATTCTATGACAAGTCAGTGTGGTGAGGAGGTTAAGACCATAGAGTGGATTTGGAGTCTAACTGATGAGGTTTGATCCTCTAATCAATCCATGATGTTCTCCCAGATCCATGACTGTGAGCAAGTCACCTAATGTCTCAGAGTCTCAGTGTCTTCATGTGTGAAACGAATGACCAGATAACAGTACTCACGTTGAGGGCGAAGCCTTGTACCTGAACAGCGCAAGCACTTGTAAGTGATAGCAACTGTTACTACTGTGACTGTCATCGCCACTCAGCTGATGAGGAAACATGGCTGAGGTGGTAAAATAACTCGCTCAAAGTCATGCCACTAATAATGGGCAGAGCTGTGATTTGAATCCAGGTCTGCTGTAGAACAGAGCTCTTCCTTGGGGTACAGGACGCATCCACTGATTCAACCAATGCCTTTCAAGCACTTCAAAAAGTTTTGTAATTCACAGCAGACCTTTCCCCCTGAAGTAGTGAGTGTGACTATACTAAGAGTCAGAGGCGGCTCCTTGGTGATAACAAATGACAAAGCCTGTGGGTGGAAACGGCAAGGAGAGGCGTCTAGCTCGCCAGGGCAACATAAACAAGGCAACCCTTACAGAAGGATCCAAAAAAGAAAGGGTGCATGGTGGTGTGGGGGGCAATGGCATCAAAGAAAGCACTGAGAGAGGGGTGCGGAGGGGGAGCGAGACAGCCAAGGGAGGGGTGAGGTGGGCAGGTGTGAAAGGCTGCCTCGTGGTGGGTGGGCAGGATGTGGCACCTGGGACAGGACTCTGGATGGCCGGGGGAATGGGAAGGCAGGAGCCTGGTGGGCGGGCTGGGAGTAACCCAGGAAAGACGAGGACGAGTGAGACAGGGAATGAGGATGGGCATTCCAGGAAAACACATGGCAGACTCTCTAGGAAAGCAAATAAAAAGCTAGAGGGCTGTCCCTGGAAGGCGGCCTGCCCTACCTCTTCATCTTGCAGATGCAGAAAGAGTCTCCACAAGGGAAGAAACTGGCCAGTGCCCACACACCCAGTCGGTGGGATGGCTGGGACTGGAGCCGGGTCCCTGGATTCCCAGCACAGAGTTCTGCACCTCAGTGGCTCCTACACCTGCCTGCACATGGACTTCCTCAGGACCAAGGTGTAAGTGAAGATTCCCAGGTCCTGTCCCAGCGCTTCTAAATCAGCATTTATGGCTATAGTTGTCTAGTACCTGTATTCCCCAGGTAGCAGCACTACCAGGTCAGTACCTGCTTGGCAAGTGACCTACACTCCTCCACTCTGAGGTCTGGGGGACAAAAAGCAAGATTAACGGGACCACTGAGGAGACAGAAGTGACAGTCACTTGCATAAAGGCTGAGGAAAGCTGGAAGGTAGGCTCATCTGTGACGAGCACACACTTCGGGACCCGCGCTGTCTGATAGAATGCGAGCCACATGTGGAATTTAAAATTTTCTAGATGATAGATTTTCTAGACATTTTCTAAATTTTCTATTCTTCTAAAATCCTCTTGATAAATGGAAAATTTTATTTTCTAAATTAATATTCTAAATTTTTATTAAAAGTAGTAAAAAGCAACAGGAGAAATTAATTTTAATAATATATTTCACTTAACCTGCCATATCCAAACATTATCATTTCAACTGGTAATCAGTATAAAAATTATTGAGATATTTTACATTATTTTTTTTTACTATTAAGTCTTCAAAATCCTGCATGTATTTTACTCTTAAAGCACACCTCATTTCAGACTGGCTGTTTTCAAGTGCTCAATAGCTGTGTGTAGCTTGCAGCCCCCACGCTGCATAGCACAGACCGACCATTTCCATCACTGCAGAAAGTTCTGTTGAACAGCATAGTCTAGATCAGGGTTCTGGCAGCCTTTCAACGTGGCGGGAAAATGTTTCCATGCTTTTTCTTCTAACACAAGGGGGGAGGTAATCAAGGGAAGAGAAAGAAACATTCTTGGCTCTTTCTAGAAGGCACTGGTTTTATTATCAGGAAAGAGAGCAAAAGGAGACCTGCTATGTGTGAGGGTTTTTGAAATGGATGTTTTTTCATTGTGGTATACCATGTGACATGTGTCAAGTGCAAAAATCTAAGTGTAGAGCTTAACAAATTGTTACATACGGGGCAGGGGCAAAAGGAGGTTTTGTTGTGAGTATGCAAAAGAGTTTATTCTTGAATTATTTATGAATTAAGTATTGCATTATTTATTTGTATTACAACCGTAAACCTGCTTCCGCCCACCCTGGTATGCATAAACCCAGGCAACGCACCCACCTCACGGCGCTGGCCTTTCCAGCCCCCAGAGGCTCCCCGGTGATTCTGTACTGTCAATCCCACCTCCCAGATGCAGCCAGTGTTCGGACTTTATCATCATTGATTACTTTTGCCAATTTTTGAACTTCCTATGAATGGACTCCAACAGATGTATCTTTTGGGTCTTCGTACAACTCAATGTCTGTGAGATTTTGTCTTGTAGGTCTGAAGAATTTCAGTTCATTTCCAAATAAGTGAAGGAAAGCCCCATCTGCTGCAGCGCCGTCTCATTCCTCTTACCCACCAAGGTATTGATGGCCCATTGGAAACAGAAAATTATTGGGGCTCCTAAGGTTCTGGCCCCAGGTGCCGGAGAAGTCAAGGGTTTGCCACCTAGCAGGACAGATGGACTCAAGGGCTCTGGCCCCCACATTTTCCCTTAGTAACATCCAGTGACCCTGGGGCAGCAGTGTGGCACTGGGCCTGGCAGGACTTTTTCTGACTTCCAGCTCATAGGCAATGGCCAAGGAGGTTGTGCGTACCTCCGTCTGCCCTGTCTCAGTAACCACCGACAATCCTGTTTCCCCTTTTCTTACCACTCCTGATTTACTTTTCTGGGTCTAGGGCCTGAAACCCCAAAGAACCAAGGGACCAAGCCACAGGATGGGGTCTCAGATGGAAGTGACCCTCATCCCTGTCATGGCTGCTGATCCTCATGAGCCTTACCTGTGGCTTCTTGTCCCTCTCCTCCGGGGATGGGTCTGTTTCTCTGTATACGACAGCTTTGGTTACCAGCATGTCAGGATGCTGAAGTTTGGCCTCCTTGATGGCCAAAGCCAGGGCCTGGTGGAAAAAAACAGCAACGTGAGGCACCACAGAATATCAAATACGAGAGAGACCACGGAGACCAACAAGCTGCTTAGTGCACAACTGGGAAAATGGAGGCCCAGGGAAGGGCAGTGGTCAGAGTTAAAGACACTGGAGCTTGGGTGTCCTGGTTCCTTTGGTTCCCATTCAATACCCCTTCCTTGGGGGCCCCTCGTCCAGACAGGATTGGCAGGAAGTGAACATCTTCTTAGCCCACAAGGGCACCCATCCATGGGTAACCAATATGGCGTTCTTTATTCTCATACCTGGTCTTGATCAACATCTTCGTCTCCAGTAATAATGATTCGCTTCTCGATCCTTGTCTCAGAAAAACCTCCTTTCACAGTCTGCAGGGGGAGAGGGGGGCACAGTCAGCCTTGGGTCCTTCCAGACCAGCAGCTGTGACAGGGGAACCTATCCAAAGTATCCCTCAAGGGCATGACTGGAACGAGCAGTCACCTTCTCTCAGCCAGAAAAATCTGGCTCCTTCAGATTTTCCTCTTCTGGTTTTGGGACTTCAGATTGCAGATCTTGCCTGGTGGTCACCACTCCCCCATATACCAAACTGTCCCCTTCTAGGTCTTCCGGCCCAGATCAAATATGCCCTCCCTAGCTTTGTTGGCCATCCTTCCACCTCCCTGCCTTGGTACTCCCTGAACACCAAATTTGTATCTCTCACGGTTCTAGCCCTCTCTGCCCTTTGCCAACCTTAAATATGGCACGTGGTCTTGTCCACTAGGCTGGCGCTCTTGGGGACAGGGGCTGTCTTTTTTTCACCTCTGTATCCCCTCGTCCCCCCCTCCCCTGTCCTGTCTGACCAGGGCAGGTGCTAAATGCAGATTTGTTGAATGAACGCATGAATGAAATGTGAATGGTGACAAGGTTCTGCCTTAAATGACTTTAAACAATAGTACAAGAGAAAGTTTGTCGATGACAGTGGTAACCAGCACTGCTTCTGAAGGGGGAGGTTTGGGTGTATGTTTAGGAGTAGAAATGGGGCAGGACCTCCTCGCGTGGCATAGTCCAGGGGGGTGGTGGCTGAGGGTGGTCCAGTTGGCGTCAGGAGTGGACAGAAGGAAGGGGGGCTCCCAGTTGGCAGGGCCAGGGGGTACTACAGGGAAAAGAGTTTTCTGAGTTGTATTCGGTTGGGTATGTGACGGAAAACCTTCCTGTCAAGCTTTTGGTGAAGTCAGTATTGCTCACTAATGCTTTTGGTGAAAGTGGGTGCTTTCTGGGGACGATACAGAGGTGCTGGGTCCTCCACAGGGCGGGGCAGGGCTGGGACAGTGTATAAAGGGCTAGTGCCACCTATAAGACTTCTTTGGATGGCTCAGTAGAACCTGGAACTCATCCTGGCTCCCTGGCCTCTCTCCTTCAGGCCCCCGTCTGGGGCCTAGGACCCCTCCTGCCGTCTGTCTGGCCGCTCAGGGGTGGCCATGCCCGCCTGTCCTCAGCCCTGTCTTCACTGGCTGGGTCACGGCTGATGCATCAGGAATGCCTCTCTTCCTGGCTTCTCCTCTTCCTTCCTCCGCTCTGACTCCCACCCTGGTCCAGGCCCTCCATCCCTAGTCTCGCCACAACGCGCTTTCTGCTTTCTCCCATCTACCTGCACATCCTGGTGGATCTAATCTCCTCTCCTTAAACCCCTTCTCACCGGCTTACTCCTCAGTTAAGAAACATGGACAGCTTTCCAGTGGTTCTCAGACTTGGGCCCCCCACTGGCACATCTGTCCCAGAATTTGTCTTACTTGTCTCTATGCTGCCCCTCCTCCTGGCCCCAGTTCAGCCTCGTTTCCCACAGTCACATCCCTACATGCTGCTTCTGGCTGGCAGAGACCACTGCTCCTGGTTCCCACAACGCGCATTGCTTACAGCTCCTCCAACAGCCCCTCGCACAGAGTGAAATCTGCTTAATGGACAAATAAGCAAACGTTTTCTGCCATTTCTGCCTCATCTTCTTCTCCCTCACAGGTCCTACCTGCTTTTCCAAGACCCAGCGCAAACCTCACTCACTTTTTCCATAAGATCCTTCCTCACTCTTTGAGCCTTCCTTATATCGCCTCCCTCTACATCCCTCCAGCACTTAAGGTCTGTAAGATGCAAATGCTATGGTTCGCAATTGCTCCCAAGGAGCCGTTCTCACCCCTTAAGCCTGGCAGTCAGTGTGGAAGAGCAGGGCCATACCCAGGGCAAACCATAACTCAGAACAAAGCGCACTGCACTCCAGAACCTGAGAACACCGCAGTGTTCCCCAGGCCGAGCATATGGCACCCTGCTGCTACTCACTTTGGTTACATGGGTGGTGGTGGAGGTGGAGAGGGTTTCCGCGGTGGCGCCGTAGGTGCTGGTGAGGACATCTTTCCCGATGATCTGCAGAATATAACCACCCCCCACCCTGGGGTCAGGTGAGGATGCTGGACTCTGCAGGGTGGGGGAGGGGTGGGGTAAACCAAGGGACAAGGTGAAGGGTCCCCGAAGGTGAAGTTTGGAAGCCAAGGTGCTCGGAACCATTGAATCTAAGAATTCAGGGATACTGGAATCTTCAGAATGCTAGACCCATAAGATTCTCAAAGCCTGGAATCTCTAAGAACCTGAGATTCCAGGCTTTGAGAATCTTATGGGTCTAGCATTCTAACAAGACCCAGAATTCTAAGACCCTAGAATTTAAGAATCCTGGCATCTTAGAAGAATGGACAGAGGGATCCAAGGTGGAAACAGAGCTCCCTCTCAATCCCCCACTCTATTCTCTCTGGGGCTAGCTGATGAGAATGGCAGATTGAGAGACTACAGGAGTTGCAAGAGACCTCACAGGGATAGACTTGGGCTCACAGGACAGCCACCGACAGAGCCGGGTCCAGAATCCAAGCCTAGGGACTCCCAGCCCATTGCTCCTCCTGGTCAGTAAGGAGAGAAGATACAAAAGAGCCACATCACAGCACAGGTACCACCGAAGGGCGGAGCCAATGGCCTCCCCCACATTGCCAATACCCTCCTTGGGGGTGTGTCAGGGAGGAATGGGGCAATGGACGAGACTTTGGTGGGCACCAGGGAGCCCTGTGGGCCTCTGAAAATGATAGCTTCCCGGTGCTGCACTTGCAAGGGCAGTCCTTTGGGCTCTACACTGCACTTGCTGTGGGCCACCTGTGGACCCAGGTCCATGTTCTCGGTGTGGAGTCCCCTAGCCTGAGCTGGCCCTGCCCACTTACCGGAGAAAGAGAACGGATTTCCGTGGCCACCGTCTGTGGGCCTGGGATCATGGCAGCTGCCCCCTTCCCGGACTTGAGACTGTTCTCCTGGGGAAACAACAGTGCTCAGATGGCCAAGTCTCAGGTGGGTGGGCCCCCAGGATGGCCAGAGCACGTGGCCATGTAGCTCTCACGGCCGTAGGTTGAATAGTGACATTAGAAGCAGAGAGCCCAAGGCCTCATTCAGTTCAGCCTCCTCTCACTCATCACGCACGCACTCACTCACTCATTCGCCCATTCACACACTTAGACGTCATTCATTCAGCAAACGTGTACGGAGTGCCTGGCGTGAGGGACACGGTGGTGAACAAGACATGGTACTGCTCTCTAGAAATACTAACAAAAGAATTGAGACACTCAGGTTCTCATCCTGGCCCCGCCACATTCTAGCCACGTGACTTGGGGCAGAGCCACTTCCCCTCTACGGGCCTCATGAATGCACCTGTAAAAAGGGACCCCTGCAATGTAGGTTCATCAGGGGTGACAAATATCCCGCTCTGGTGGGCGATGTTGATAATGGGGGAAACTTTACTAGAGTAGGAGCAGTGGGCATATGGACAGTTTCTGTACTTTCCTCTTAATTTTGCTGTGAATCTAAAAACTGCTCTAAAAACTAAAGTATTAATTTTTTTTAAAAAAACGGAACCCCTGCCTCACTCCCCCAAGAGATGTTCTGTTGCTAACAAAGGAGAAAGGGCTTTGCAAATGGAAATCTATAGGATAAATAGCTATTAATAACATCATAATAATTACTGTTTTCTGAGTTCTTGCTATGTACTAGATATTATCCTAAGGATGCATTAGCTCATTTAATCCTCAGAACAAACCATTTTAACATTCTTGTCTTACAGCTGAGAAACTGGAGGCCCAAAGAATGTTAAGTGGCTTGTTCAAGTCCCCCAGCAAATTAGTGAGAGAGCCTGGATTTAGATCCACGTTCGTCAGACTCCTAGTCCAGCACACTCCTTCCACAAAACACCACTCTGTCCTCAGAACGCCTACCCCTGAGACAGGTCTCCTGGTCCTACACTGGACTCTGCTAAACATTCCTGGTACTGGCCTCAGATTTACTGGCCCACATCTGGCAAGCAGCCTGGCTGCCTACCTCTACCTCCCACCTTCCGCACCATCTCGGGCTCAGCCTTGTCTGCCCAGAGGCCCAGGGCTGCATCCATTCTGCAGCGGCCCAGAGGGCTGAACCTGGTCCCAGTCCTTGCATGGCATAGACCTGGCCCTCTGCCTGCCAGATGCTGAGTGAGGACAGAGGCCCTCCCTCTGCCATGAGCCTGCCTGGTCACCTGGCACTCCATCCACAAGCGACTTCCTCAGATACAGTCACAAAATGTGGCATTAGCAGCAGGCCTTGAAAGGACAGTCTTCTGGGTTCGATGCTTCCCTTCCTCTTTGGGAAACAGCCATTAGCCACTTTGAGTCCTACTCTGTCACTTCAGGCCATTCTCCCACGCCTTTTCTGCTGGTGGCAAAGCCTCATCCCAACCTTGACACCCAAAACAGGCCACTAATGAGGACAGAGGTCGTTTAAAACAACCTGCTGCACCTGCCTCTCCTGTATCTCAGATTGTGCTCTTTCCTGCCTCAAGGAGGAGCAGCTCCTGTCCCCACCAGGGCAATATCACCATCTCTTCTCTGGACCCATCTCTGCTCTTCCCATGTACTCAGGGCTCTCCTCCTCACTGTCCAACCTCTCTCTAGACCCCCTCAGCCACTCAATGCTTCCTCATCATGTCCACTGTCCCCTATCCCTTTTTCTATAACCCAGATCTTTCTTCAACCCTAGACTTTTAAAACAAGTTGTGTGCTAGACATTTTCCCTTGGAAATGTCTCACTTGCCCCACAAACGCATCAGATCCAAAACGGAATTCGCTGCCTCCTCCCGCTCCCAACACGCGCCTCTCAGACTCGAGGGGTGTCGCCACCGGGAGGGCTGTGAAAGCACAGATGGCTGGGCCTAACCCCAGCTGATTTCTGACTCAATCAGTTGGGGTGCTGCGCCAGAGGTGACCTTTCTCATAGGTTCCCAGGAGCACACTAAGAACAGCGGAGCTACTGAGCAGCGTCACCAGCCCACCTTTCCTCCTGTCACCTGCTCATTCTATCAATGACCAAATCCTATACTTCCCTTCTCTGGGCGTCCCTCTTCTTGGCATCCACCTCCTCACACTCTGGCCCTGCACCAGCCCCTAAATTGGTTCCCTGCCTTCTCTTCCGGTCTCTCTTAATAGGCTCAGGGATACTGTCTCCTTCGGTGCTGGATTCACAGTGCCTGGCGCAGTACTTCACACAGCGTGGGTGTTCAGTAAATATTTGCTGAAGGAAGGAAGGAGGGAGGGAGGGAGGCAGGGGGGAAGGAGGGAGGGAGGAAAAGAGGGAAGGAGGAAAAATAAAAGGAACCCATGGCCCAAGGGAAGGAATTTTGGCTCCAATCATGTTCTGCACAGGTTGCAAGAATAATCTTTCTAAAACACAGAAACACTTACTTTGATGATATCATGCCCCTACTTTAAAAATCCAAGTGATTCTCCATTGTAGAGTCCAGAATGAAGCTTGAACTTTGTAAGTGCCATTGGAGGCCCTTCAGGCCCCGGCCCAGCCTTCGTGTCCAGCCTCTTCTCCCCCAGCTCCTCCCCCACACACTTGACATCTCGCTTCGCTGCTAGGCTCCTTCACATCCTTGCCTTTGCACCTGCTGTTCCCACTGCCTGTAGTGCCTTCTCCTGCGATTACACCTTCATTTATCCCTCAAGCATAGCTCAGATGTCACGGCCTAGATAAAGCCTCCCCTGGCTCCTATGGTGTCACCCACACCTCTCCTCTCTGTGCTCCCTGGGAAAGCATTATGACACTGTTCCAAGAAGGCAGGAAAAAACAGCTGCTCACGTTACAGACCAAAGGACTCTGTAGATAAACCTTAGCTCATCTTCACATCAACCCTTTGAGGGGTGTGCTATTATACTCTTCACCCCACTTTACAGAAGTGGAAACTGAGGTTTGCAGAGATTCAGGTAACTTGCCCAAGGTCATCCAGCCAGAAAGTGGGAGAGCTGGGCCTTGTTCACCACGGTGTGCCTAGCACCTAAACACAGGGGCACAGCACATCAAATGTGCCCATGACTACTGTTTGGACAAATGAATCCCAGCAGGCGTTATGTTTCCTTCAACTCTGTCTCCCCATACTGGACAGATAGAGAGGTTAATAAATGTGTTTGGAACAAAGGAATGGATGGATGGATGGATGGATGAGGAAATGAATGATGCAACTGCCTACTTGCCACAGCATGATTTAAATTTGGCCCTGTGAGCACCCCGATGCCGCGTGGTGGAGCGTTGAGGGGAAAGGAGGAACTGAGTGACCAGCGAGGGAAGCCTGCGAGCCGGTAACTGGTTTGGGTTTATTTATCTTAAAATCTTTGTTTACTCAAAAATCTACTGCAGGGCAGTCTAAATTAATGCAATTCTCTTTCTATGTATGTGTCAGGGTTTGGCAAAAGAAACCATTTGAAAACAACCTCCCAACAGCTGAAGACAGATCTGGCCTAGGCAATGATACCTGCGCAGCCGCAGCCGCAGCCGCAGCCCCAGCCCCAGTCCCAGCCCCAGGTGGCCAGTGTTCCCAAAGGTCTGGATGAGGGAACAGAGCAGAGTGGTTGAGGTCAATGGCAGGGCTTCCGGGGTCAGAATGCCTGGGTCTGACCTGGCTCTACCACTTGCTGCTCGTGTGACCTGGGGTGAGTCACTTTACCTCTCTGATCTCCAGTCTCCTCATCTGTAAAAGGTGAAGAAAAAAAGAGCATCCACCTCACAATTCTGTGAAGACCAGTGAGATGACTGCCTGGCCCCAAAGCCTGGGTGCTCAATGCTACTTGTTCTGTGGTATCATAAAAGGGTCTGATGTTACTGCGCTGTCTCAAGAACCTGTGAACCAGGCAGGATAGGGGTTATTCCCACTTTACAGATGAGGACACCTGAGGCCAAGGACCCCCCTTCATGGGTCACATAGCAAATCAGTAGCAGAACCACAGGGTCCCTAGGGAGATGGTCTGAAATCCTGGGCTTTCAATTTAGGTTCACTGCACGCCATCTACTGACCAAGGCAAGGAAGTGGCCAGAGACACGAGCGAATGTGCAAGCGGCCAGGAGGATGGGCCCTCTCAAAGGACTTCCAGGCACAAGCCTCCATCATGGCCAGCACTCAAAGAGCACCGTCCTCCCTCCACCCCTGCCGTGGCTGGGATGGTGTGGGCGACAGAGACCCAGGGATTCCACCCCCCACATTATTCAGTCTGGAAGGCTGAGTCTTGTGGCAACCATGGTGCCAGACAATTTGATTGTATGTCCCAGGCCTGATGCAGGAAGGGCAGATAAGGACTTCCTGCAGCTGGTGGTGTTAGCTTGTTATCTAGCTGTTTCTAGGGCAAGAGGCTGGTCAGAGAGGGAAGTCCCCTGGGCCCTACTTACCATGGTGGTTGATATGGTCTCCGTGGTGATGGAGGGAGTAGTTGTTATGAACTCCTTCATTCCTAGGGCAGTCCCATCAACCTACAGTCAGAGGAAGGGGTCATCAGAGAAAGACGCACAGAGAGAGAATGCCAGCTACTCCTGCAGCATCTGTCACCAGGGCTGGTGGCATTCCCAGTTACAAGGCGACGGGCTGTGTGAGTGAACAGTCCGCTGGGGGCACGGGGCTGTCCACATACAGATGAGTTTCAGACGGGCCTCACAGGGCCCCTGATTCATTTCAATCATCTTATGTGACTGACAAAGGAAAAATAATCCCAAGCGATTCGACCAATTCTATCCAAATTTCAATGCATGAATTCCTTGACCTGGTGATTCCATTGCTAGGAATTCACCCTTTGGACATAAACTTTGAACTCTGCCGAGTAGAGTCAAGGAAGGTCACTGCCACACTGCAAAAGAGAAACAAGCACGGGTCCACTGATGGGAGGCTGCATGGAAAATGCGGGTCCACTCCTGAGTGGGACTAGGAAGAGCAAGGTGGGTCCGCGTATACCAGCAAGAATTCATCTCCAAGAAAATTATTTAAAAGTTAAGGTATAAAAGAGAATGATCTCTTTTCTGTAAAAAATTTTAAACACCTAGAGATGTAAGTACATATGTTGGTATACACATAAATATTTTCCTGGGAGGAATCACAAGAAGTTCATGTGACTCTGTTTGAATTTCATAATTATGAGCATTTTGTTGTGTTGATGTCAGTAAGGATTAGTGAGTTATGGAATTTGGGGCCATCTTTAGTTTTCTCTGTAATTCTCTGTATGAAAACAAAACACACGTTATTAAAACAAAATAGGCCAGAGAGGGAACATGCTGTCCAAGGTCACTCAGCTCATCAGAGCGCGAGGGTCCTGACTGCAGCACTAGCAGCCTCATAAACCCCTGTGCATGTCACAAAGTGAGAGGCGAAAGTTTCGGAAAGGATAGAGGTGCCCACGTTGTGTTGGTTTGCATCTTACTTTAGTTTTGAGACAAAGACTAGTCTCCAGGGCAAGAAGCCCAGCATAGCAGCTCTTCTGACCAGAAAGGACTGAGACCCACAATCTCAATTTCCAAAGTTTAAAAATCACAAAAGGATCTTAGGAACCACCTGTGTCCATTCATACGTTCTTCTCCAGGGCCCACAGTGTGTTTCATCTCACTAAGACAAATGATTTGGGGTCTCTTTTTTACCCCCAGTTTGTTTATTTTGCCAATTTGATGTGGAGCCCCAGAGCATAAAAAATAAAATGACCCAAAGTGAACTGCTGTGACCAAAGCTGGCTTGGGGCCTCACATCTTCTCTTAAAAAAAAAAAAAAAAGGGTCACAATCCTATTCCACTAGCCACTGGGCCTTATCATACTCCCAGGAGGACAGGAGATACATGATCATCCCTGCTTAACGGACACAGAAATGGAGGCATGAAGAACGTAGTCTGCCCAGGACAGGAACACATTCCTACCGCCCACTCCCAGAGCTCAAGAAGGACACACTCTCAAGAGCATCAGGGTTAAAATGGGGCCTCTTGGGGAGCCAAGGTGGCAAGGGCTGGCCGAGGGAGGGGCTTGTTCATGGTGGGGATCCCCCTCAAATGCCTCATACCTGTGTTCAAGGTGTGTTGAAAGGCCCAGCTTACCTGGGTGTCTACAGCGGTGACTCTGGTCTGCAGCACGGCCTCAGGCTCAATCTTCTTCCTGATGGCCAGGCTGCTGACGGTCATGGTTTCCGTTTTCACAGGCTGTAGGGAGATGAGGAAGGACACTCCATAACTCAAATCCCCGGCATGACTCCTGCTCATGGGCAACTGTGGTGTAGGGTTAGCAGGGTACCTCCCACCCCTGCAGCTGGCCAAGACTGCAGAAGGGTACACAGGCCAGGGCAAAAGAGGCATGGTGTGATGTTGCAGAAAACCATCCCAAGAGGAGAGCCTGACCCACCAGCAGCACCCAGGTAGGCCCACCACAGACCCTGCCACCACACAACCTTGTGCTGGCTATATGCTATTTTTCAGGCTACCATTTAGAGAACATCTACTGGCTCTGGCCAGGTAGCTAACTTGGTCAGAGCGTCTATGCCAAGGTTGCAGGTTAGATCCCTGGTCAGAGCATATACAAGAAACAACCAATGACTGCATAAATGAGTGGAACAACAAATCAATGTTTCTCACGCACTCTCTCTCCCCCTATCCCCCCACCTCAATTTAAAAAAATTTAAAAAGAGAACATCTATTATTCAATTAATATGCTCTGGGCCAGACCCCATGCTAAGTATTTTCCCGATATATATAATGTCACTGAATCTTGAATGACTTCAATGGTTATGCTACTACCTCGTTTCACTTGTTCAAGAGCAGAAGTCACACCCCTGGAGACCCACAGGGGTCACACGGGAGGTATAAACAAGTCAAGTGGGCTTGCTGAGGCCTGGGGTGAACTGGAAAGCACATGGGGTCCCACCCGGGCTTGGCCAACTGTGGCCATGGCTTCTGAGTGCTCGAGTCATCTGATTTTTTTAACGATATAAAAAGTTTTCATACCATTTTTTAATGATATGAAAAAATTCCTGGATTTTATATTCAATGTCCTGATTTTTAAATCAAGGTGAAAGAAAGCACAGCTGCTAGCCAGACCTGGCCCGAGCCGCCAGTTTACAACCTCTGCTCTAGAAGTCCTAAGTTAAATGATCACTTTCTTCTGAGTCCTCCATCGGGCTAGTTCATGGCTATCCACACAGCAGGTATTAACATATGCGAACTGAATGAATGAACGAATGAAAGCTAGCTCGTCATCTGCCTGGGAGGGTTGTGAGAGGATTCTTAGAGATGGTCGCAACCCAGAGATCTAGCTGTTCATTCAGTCAATTGCCTATTAGTGCCTGCTATGTGCAGGCTTCCAGGAGCTGCCACCTGGTAGGAGAGCAGGCCTGTCAGCCACTCACCTACTTGGGACACCACCAGGCACAGAAGCATTACTGAGAAAGGGGGCTGGGGAGGGGACACTACTTCTGGTCAAGGTGGCCAGGGAAGCATTTGCGAGGGAAGTGACATCTGAACTCTGACCTGGAATATGACACACTTGCAAGGCACAGAAAGGGAGGAAAAACTTTCTACGCAGAGGGTACAGCATGAGTGAATGAGCTCCTGTTTCAATGCCTGGAAGAGCGGGGAGGGGAGTGTAGTGGGAGGTAGGCTGGGGCTGGAAGAGATGAGAGCAAAGGAATAACATGAACAAAGATCCCCTGAAGGAAGGACACCAAACAGAGAGGCCCAGACACAGTTTCCCCTTGTGCCCCCCTCAGTGGCGATGTTTCCTCTTCTCTAGGAGTTTGCACTGCTACCCCAGGGCCAGGTGGATTTAGGCTTCTGCCCCTTCCCCAGGAAGCCCAGGCCCCAGGAAGAGGAGCCGGCCAGGATCAGGAGAAACCATCCGACTTTCAGACCAGGCCGCGGGGGCGCCTGTGGGTCGTCCACAAGCACATGCTCTCTGCAGTGCCATGCAACGCGGGCAGGGAGAGGAGGAGTCGAGTAGACCTGACAGCCGCTCACGGCTTGACCTCAGGCAAACGATGGGGTCACAGGGTTAAAATGCCAAGGAGTGCGCGTTAGGGGCAAACTGAGATGGCAAACATGCGAGCACAGAACCATGCTGTTCTGTGAAGGGGCAGTCATGCAACACGGGACACAGCTTCAGGCTGAGGGACTCTGGGCTGCAGGCTGGCGACTCAGTCTTCTCACAGGTGGCCCGGGGCCCTCTGAACATGCAGTGCTTGCTGGGCCCAGTCTCGATGATGCTCCACTGTACCTCAAACTGGGGCATCTCCGGGGTGGAGCAGGCCCCTCGGTCAGGGCTGTCCTCCATGCCCCCAGACTCGTCATCCTGGCTGGGGCCCCTCTTGCTGAGATCCCGGGAGAACACCAGGCCCTCTGTTTCCGAGTCGCTCTTGTCTCGGTCGAGCTCAGGCAGACTGCGGGAGAAGTCTTCGAAGGCGCTGCCATGGTAGTCACCGATGACCGTGAAGTCGACCTCAGCCTCCAGGCTGGATGTGGAGCTGACCGTGATGCTGGAGCACTTACGCTCAATGGCCAGGTGGTTGTCCTTCAGGAACACCGCGTCCCTCTCCTGGTCCTGGTCCTCATCTCCTGTGTCACTCTCTGGGGCCCTGGGACGAGGCGGTTTGACTTTCTCCTCCGAGCCCTCCCTCAGCCCTGCTCTCTACGGCCAGATAAAAATCAAAGGAACAGGGGTGTGGAGTGAGAGGGAGAGAAAGAGAAAAAAAAAAGAGAAATCAAGATGGTGAATGACAGAAGAAATCTTGGGGCCATGTCGGTGTCCCAAATGGAAGAGCAGGTCATGAAACAAAAAAACACCCTGGGAGAGGTTCCTTGATGTCATAATAAGCTTAAAAAAAAAACCCCAAACTTCTCAAGAGTGGGGACGCTGCTTTCCAAGGTCTCCTGATGGTGGCAAAGCAAGTACAAAGCAAACATCCTGCCAGTTGGTTCCTGGACAGGAGGCTCCATCCAACGTTTGGATCTGGGAGCTTATCAGAAGCGGCATTGTACACAAGGCAGGGACAGGAGCCCAGGTCCCAGGCCCATCCACACGGGCTGGCACTGAGAGACAGAAACCAAGGAGGGAGACCCAGGGATCAGGAAACCCAGGCAGGGGAGGCAGAGAGGCTAGAGCCAAGAGCTTTCAGGAACAAAGGAAGCCAGCATGGTTTGTCAATTCCACTGAGTCTCCATGGGAGGGGTCAGCATCATCTTGAGGAAGAGCAATATGGGGTGATTCCTGGGAGCTGGGTGCCACATCGCTTCCACCCTGTGCTCCATGAGTGGGCCAGCGGGCAGGCCGTGAAGTGGAGGTTCTGGTCCCATCAGTGTAATTGACAACAGCAGGCCAAGGAAATGCTGGAAGGGAACCAGCAACTCTTGTCTGACATACATACCTCTCAACTGGACTGTTAGGGATTAAACACCACACAAACATTTGGGGCTGCTTTATGACACTCCTTTTTAAGACCAATCGAACACCCACAAAATATTTTTAAAGTACATGGCTTCAGGTTCTAGAGACTCAGTGCACAAAGAGATTCACTTGCTTAACAAGCATCCATTTAGCCAGTTTCTGGGAGGTTGAGAGGTGTGAGGGCACATTCAGACAAGCCACAGTCCAGCTGCTGCAGGAAGCACTGCCAGAGCAGGTGGGAATTTAAGGCAGCGATGCGCCCTGGACAGGCGAGGGTGACCAGGTGGGTCATCAGGGCACTGAGGGGCTGCAGAGACCTGAGGGCCTGAGGGGCTGGCGAGTCTCAGGCGCCCCCCTTTCCCAGGGGGGTTTGCTGCTAAAGTGGTGACATGCTTCTCTTCCCTGATGGCGTCTCCGGATTTGTTCTGGATTAGAGAGGACAGTTAGACTTAAGGAGGCGGAAAGGCACTTGGCACTGGGACCGAGAGGGAACCACCAGTGAAGGATGGAAACCTCTGGACTATCAGCTTCCCCAAGGCAGGAGAACCAGGGGAGGGAAAGGAATGAAGGAAGGTCGTTGGCCAAGCCAAGCAAACAGGTAGGAACCCAGCAAGTAGGGGCAGCAAGGCAAAGCAAGAGCGTAGTTTGCTGGCAGTGGAACCACCTTCTCTGCTGGGTCTGTGTGGCCCTCGAGGGTTTTTGTGGTTAAGTTCACATGGGCCAAGCAGATGAACCTTGCATTCTGCTTGCACTACGCTCAGGCCCATTTAGGGAAAAGAACTCACAGGGACGGACAAGCAGCCTCCCATCGCACTAATGATGAGGGGCCACTGAAACATGCTTCTAAAAAGCTACGCAGCATGCGGTCTGCTCCCTGGGCTGGGGACAGCGGTGGGGGTGGGGGCTCACGTGGCCAGCTCCCCCAGTAGCTTCCTTCAGCGTAGTTTCACAGCCCAAATCAGGGGACATGAGCTCGAGTTCCATGAATCCTTCCTGGTGGGATGCGGTAGAAACACCCTCCCTGAAGTGTCTGGTTGTGGGTGACGTCACTGCGGACCGAGTGGCTTTGGGGCCAGCGAGGTCCCCCAGGGGCTGGACTTGGACGAAGCCCAGGTCTAAAAGTTGATTCCACTGTTGCTCCGCCTGCCCTAGGGAGGCCTCCGAAGGCAGCTCCTGTGGAAGGGCCCGTGTTTCGCCCTGACTCACTCGACGACTTTCAGCTCCATGGCTCTCAAAGATCCAAATTTTATTGGCCACTGAGGTCTTGCTAATATCTTCCAGGGAGTCCTCTTGGCCCACAGCCTGGAAAGGAGTCATCTTTGGCTTCCCTGAAGGGAACCCCAATCCCAGGGGTGCAGCCTTTTCAACTCCCTCAAGGACACGCCTGGGCTTTCTGCTGGCAACCGGAGGTGCCTTGCGCTCACCTCTGTGCAGAGTCAAAACAGGCTCTACTCGGTCCTTGGGCTCTGGGCTTTCTTTGAGAAACACAGGGTACTGTTCTCCAAAGGGACCCCCAAGTTCCAAAGGCTCCCCTGACCCAGGAGAGGCTGGGTTCAGAGAAGCTGCCTCAGGAGGTGCCTGAGCCTGAAAGGGACCAGGAGAGGTTGGGAAAGGGTTGATCACTTCCATCTGAAGAAAAGGCATATGAACCTTGCTGTCCTCCATCGTGGGTTCTCTTGTTTGGGTGTGACCTGGTCCCCTGTCTTTGGGCAAGAAGTTGCCTCCGCCCGCTTTGGCTGGCTTCCATGGAAGGGCGCAGGCTGGGAGCTCTGGGCACACACCCCCTCCTCTGTGAGACGAGTGGTTCTTCCATCTTGCTGGGGGACTTTTCTCAGCCTTTCCCATCAACTCTTGACTCCTGGGGGCCTCTTCCTCTGCAGTGATGGTGGATGCTGGGTGGGGGAACTTTGCTTCTACCCCCTGCCCAGCTTTCTCCCAGTTCTCAGCAAACATCTGCTCTGGAAAAGATCCAGTACCAGTACCGTGCTGCTTGTCAAAGGCCTCCAGGCGATCTGGTTGTCCGTGGCCCCTGGGGGGCCCTGCCCCTCCCTCCAAGAAAGCTGTGTGGGCTTCCCATGCTTCATCTTTGCCCCTTCTGGAAGCTGAAGGAGAACCCCACTGGTCTGAGGAATTCGGCTCAGAGCTGTCTGGAAGCTCCTCCAAGAGCTTCTGCCCGGTCCCGCCTCCAGGAGGGGCTTCCAGATACTCTTCTCTCTCCTCCAGCAGCGGAGGGAGGGTTTGGTCTTCAACATCTTCCTCTCCATAGTTGAAATAGAAGCTCCTCTCTGCGAAGGAGGTGTCAGTTTCATCACTGGAGTCGGCTCTGGCTTCCGCATGGCCTGGGTCCAGCAGAAATGACTGAAGTCCTTCCTTGTCAGAGGTTGGAGAGGGGACATCCGCCTCAGCTGGCTCAGTCCCCGGGACAGTGGGTCTTCCACTAGTTTGGAACTCCTCCAGCTCCTTCCTTAGCTCCACGTGGCCCTCCAGCTGACCTGAGACCTGGCGCTTCCTGATGGTTACCTCCCCGGTGCCTACCCTGAGCTGGGAGCCCCCAAGGAGCTTTTCTGCCAGCGTGCAGCCTGCAGCCGGAGAAGCTCCCTCTGGGCCGTCCCTGACCCAGGGACCTTCCTCCCACATGGACTCAAAGTCTTCGGGGCTTGCGATCATTTTCCCTTTTTGCTGGGTGTTTGCTCTTCTGGCTCCCACCACTTCCTCTGTGGCCACTTCAACTCTGAACTTGTCCACCAGGATGTCCACTTTGGAGAGTCTGCCATCAGCAAGGATATCCGCGAGGCCTGCCTCACTTTCTTCCTGCTGCGTGGCGGCCACTTTTCGAAGACTGAGTTCTTCTGGCCTAGTGTACTTCCTTTCTATAAATACCCAATGCTCTGAACCCTGTGTTTCAATTGGAGCAAGAAGAGTTAACATGAAATATCAGGCACCTGAAGAACGCATCACACTTTCCCTCTATAAGAAGGGACCAATCTACCGCCAAAAGGTCAACACGTCCATCCCCAGAACTGGCTGGGGAGAGGCAGGCAGGACAATGCTAGTCAGCCTCATCAAGCCTCCTCTTCCCTTCAAAGCTCCAACAAATCATTTACCAAACCCCCTCAACCACCACCCCAACTTCGTAAAATGGGAGGGGTCTCCTGCCCTCTCTCTGTTAACTGTGGGGAAAATAAAGATCCATGGATGGGCCAGGACTCTTCCTCTTCCTCTTTCAATAAAATAACTGCCACTGTCAGAAGGGAAAGTAGCTGATGTTACATGGAACCTTTGATTGTTAGAGCCTGAAGCACACCTAAGACACCTTCCATACAATCTCATTGTGCAAATGGATAAACGTAGGCCTAGAGAAGGCCAGTGACTTACCCAAGGTTAGTTAGCTGATGGTAGCATCAGGAAAAGAGCAACTGATTTTTGATGCCTGAGATCCTGGCTAACTTATCTCACAACCTATGGAATATGCATCCCAACTATGATCTAATATCAAGTTGATAGGAAGCACTGAGTTAAGTTCCATAAGCCACATCCTGAAATCTGACCTTTCTGCAAGAACTTCTGGGAAGGAAAGAGATTAGAATGAAAAATACCTAACAGCCAGCCCTAGAAGTTAGTGCCAGTCACCACAATGGCTTCAACAGCTTGAACTTTGTGGAGTTCTTTGCCAAAGAAACAGGTACCATGGTCTGTCCTTGGAAAATTCTATCAAAATCTACAGAAAGAATAGAAAAGGACTGACCAGAACACATCACAGAAGGAAACTACCTAAAAATCCAGGCATCACCAAGGGTCAAAAGTACCAGCAAGAGGGCGGCGTTGTCATACCATTGACCGAATAGCTTCTGCCTCCCCCAGAGCCCCTTGAACACTTGGGAGGGAATGATGAACTTCTAGAATCATTCCAAAGCAACAAGGCCTTTGGGATTTTAATCTTACAGCCACAGAAAACTTCTTTACACAAAATCTTCTTGGAAGTCTAAAATGTAGCACAAATGTGGGACTGTCCTGTTGAACTTGGGGGCCTGGGCTGTCCTAGTGTCCTGAGGCACCTTCTTCCCTTGAAATTGCTGCTCTGAGTCAAGCCCCTCATGGTAAAGATGTGGAAACTGAAGCCTAGGGAAAGTAAGCCCCATGCCCAAGGTCAGAGAGTGATCTAGTGGCAAAGGCAGGCCTAGACCCAGTCTTGTGTTCCAAGTGCTATGAGGTGCATCACAGGAAGATGTGCCCCAAACTGCTCCCAACAGCAGGCGGGGGAGGTCTGCCTGACCTTGGGCTCCAATTCAGGTTATGACTTGGTGAGGAGTCCGTCAGACCCCATAAGATCTCAAGGATTCTTAAGGACCAAGGGAACATTGTAAACCTCTTACTTCCACTCTAACCTCCTCCCCTGATTTCAGCAAAATCTCCATGATTGTCAGGGAAGCAAACCACATTAAGAGAATCCCGCCAACAGAAAAAGACATAAAAGGAAGGAGGGAAGGCTCAGATCAAGTCAGGCATGGGTTCTGAGATTTTACATCAGGTTGTTAAGGCTTCAGGGCAACAGTACTTGAACCCTCCCATAGAGAAGTGCCTCAAGAGCCTATATAGACGCCTGTTCTCTTTTCTCCTCTACCTGGGAAACAGGTGTCTGTAGCTGCTCCCATTTCAGCTTGTACTGACATCATCAGCCTGCAAGGATGGCCGACAATGGTCCATGAATTCCCTTATGGAACACTCCTGTCCCAAGTCTAACCAGAAACTAGTTTCTAGAAACTAGAAGCCTATCAGGCTGAGCACGGTGGGAGCTGGCATCGAACAGAAAGATTGTAGAGTAAGAGAAAGGCAAATGTACTTTTATTTAGTTCTCTTGTGCCATACAATATCACCCTTTGTCTAAGTCAGTGATTTTGAACCTTTTTCATCTCATGGCATACATGAACTAATTACTGAAAATCTGCAGTACACCAAAAAATGTATTTTTTGCCGAGCTAACAAAAAAATAGGTATAATTTTGATTCATTCACATCGATGGCTATTGAGTTGGCTGTTGTCATATTTTAATTTGACAATCTAATGGAAAAGAGGTCAGTGCCCCTGACTAAACAGTCAGATATTATATGTTTTAAAAATTCTCGGGGCTTAAACACTGGTTAAAAATCGCTAGTCTATGTTACTAAGTTTAATCCATATGGCAACCTGTGAAGCAGGTGCTGCTACCCTTATTTCAGAAGGGGAAATGGGGGCTCCCAGCAGGAGGTGACTGGCACAGATGACAGTGAGCACTGAGGGAGGAAGAGGTTCTGCCTCTAGCAAGTGCAAGTAGATATGCAGCAACTAAAGAGAAAAGAGAGACTGAGCAGAAAGGAGAAACAGTTCACTGGCACCAAAACACTGCCACAACTGGCCGTAAGAATGAAGGATGGGAAGATGTCAGGGGCGCCCCACATTCTTTCCAATTGAGCAGGGACCCTCAGCGCCTGCTCAGAACGCCCCCTGCTGTCAGATGGAGGCACTGTGGCACGACAGCCATAGGACAGAGCTGGGAGCCAAGTGAGCCCATTCTGCTCCTACGCAGGCCAGAAAATCTCCCACCAGGAAGTTCTACTGACTCTGGGCTGTTCAGGCCCCACTTGGAACTCTGGGTCACGTTCTGGGCCCAGAGGAGGCATCCAGGATGAGGAGCCCTCTAGAAGCTATGCCCTGGGAGAAACTATTGAAGAAAGAGGGTTGGCTGGTGTTAACTCCCAAGGGCCCTCCTGGAGGAGGCAGAGCAGGTCTAAGGCTGCCTGGGGACAGAGGGAGGCCCAAAGGCAGGTGATTCAGAAGGACAGATAATTCAATGTGAAAACTTCACAATGGATGACTGAAGACAAAATGAGCTACTGTTACGGACAGGCAGAGCCCCCTCCATGAAAGGGGCCGGATGAACAATATTAAGGGAGGCTGCTGAAGGACGCATGTTGCTCCTTCCCCCAAGTATGGGCACCTGTCCTTGGCTCTAGGGGCATCTCTGTGCTCCAGGGTTCCACTGAGTTGTGGGTGACTCCTGTCCAACTTCTTCCAAGACAGAGCTGATAGTTTTGTCTTTATTTCTACAACTGAGGAAAAATTCAGGGTGAAACTGATTTATGTTTTACCACTAATGTAGCTGACTCATGTCTCTTTTACAGTTCCAGCATGTTTTGGGCAGCTACAAAAGTCTCTGGGAATTGAGAAAGGTGTATGCCCTCACACACTGGGCCAACAGAGAAGGGTCGTAGGTCAGGGAGAAGGGAACTTCGCCTAGATAATCAGTCAGTATCTTCCAACCCTGACAGTCCGTGGGGCACTGGCAGAGAGGGGTGATGCAGCCCCTGCTCCCTGCGCCTGAGTTCCACCTCGCATCCATGCAGGGGCACAGCAAGTTCCCAGAGCCCTTGGCCTGCTGCTCTCCTGGGCACGGCAGCAATGCCCTAATGCCCTCCGCATTGAGAATGCTTGCCTCACAACATCTCTCTAACCCCAAGGATACTCCTTGGAACAAGATGCCCAAGGAGTATCTTGTCTAGAGACCCTGACTGACCCAAGTTCCAAGGGGAGCTTAGAGAAGAAAGAGGCGGGGGATGAAGGGGATGCCATCCTCTAACTAGCCACAGCTAGACCTTACTCAGGCTTCTAAACAGAAACAAGACTTTAGGGCAGAAGGCAGGTAGGCGCTATGACCTCCAATTCTGCTTCTCAAGCCACCTGCCTCTGCAAGGCCTGAGGGAAGATATCTCTGCCACCCTTTGAAGCCAGAGGTGCCTAGGGCTGTTCTCTCTTCCCTAAATGGTTTCAGTCCTGACTCCTGGGACACAGTGGATGAGGGAGGGGCCTGCCCTTTATGGATTGCTAGAACAGGGACGCTTATTTGTCACGGCATGGAGACAATATGGGCTACCCATTGCTCCCATGTGCATGGCAGAGTCTGGCCCACCCCCTTCACCCCAGAGGAAGGGTTTTCTTAAGACCATCAGGGTGGTTCTGGGTGGGTGATGACAGTAACCTCAGGAGACGCTGCAAGGCTTTTCTGAGTGAACAGTTCCAAGCCTGTGGCCGTCCCAGGCTCAGGTGCCAAGTCCTGCTGAGAGGTGTCCTGGGTCCTCTGGGACTGCAGGGGAGGCCCAGGGCCAGAGAAAAGGGGAAGGAGGAAGGGAAGGAGAGACAGAGAGGGAGAGAAAGAGAGAACAGGAGAGACACACACACAGAGTCCATAAATAGCCCTGCTTTGTAAATCCCACACCCTTAGGGTTTATGCAGTAGGTCTGGGGTGAGCTGCACCTGGGGCGAGATAGAAAGGAATGGCCCCTCCAAGCCGTTCATTGGTTGGCAGGTCCGGGCCTTTCCTAATCGCCTGCCCATTCTCATTCAAGAGGTTTTAGAGCCGTATCACTGGCACTCTGGTCCCAAGTCTTCTCTGGGTGTGTTTGGTTAGACAATGGTCCAGTCCAACAGTTTGGGCCTCAGCCCCTTTTAAAAAGCTATCTTTGACATGAAAATCTGGGCTTGGCAAATGGGAACTCTTCTCTATAGTTTGGGGTGCCTATTTGTGTTTTAAGTTCCTACTGTTTTCCCCTTGGCCCAGATGAAGCTCAACAGTATATGAGGAAACTACTAGAAAGTCTGGGTGAAAGACCCTGCAGGATAGCCCTGCAAAGCCCACATCTGCAGCAGGGCTTCTCGTCACCAACAGCAATGGCCTCACGACTGTCCACACTCCCCAGTTTATAAAGCATGTTTATATCCATTATTTTGCTCAACCTTCCCAAACACCCAGCCGTAAAGAGTAGCGATTTTAGTTCCCTTTAGACGGACTGACTAGCCAGTGAGACTCAGGGAGGGGCGGTCACTTGCCGAAGGATTCAGGCCAGTCCCCAGCTAAGTCTCCCCTCCATCTCCCAGATCTTCAAGGGCCTTTCAATGCTCCAAGGTGAGTTCCTGGACCAAACTTCTTTCCAGCAGTGGACTACACTTTTTGGGACAGCAGTGGGAAGACAGGAGGTGGGACAGACTCCGCCTCTCAATGACCCATCTTCTAGCAGTTCCAGCTGTCACCAGCAGGTGGGGCATCCCTCGAAGCCAGGCAGCTCTGAGGCTGGCCCAAGGCTCCTGAGCACAGCTCCCCAGGGCTCATCCTGCCCTTCTCTGCTGGAGTCCGACCCTTTGAGAGGTCTCTGCACCCCACCTCACCCACTTCAGGACCAAAGAGAGGCCACTCTGGTCAAGTGTCTCAGGGCAGGATCACTGGACCAGCCCCCATGGACCCGTTCAGCATCTTGATTGTGTCAAAGGTGACCACAGAAGCCCTCGGCGGATGCAGAGATTTGCCTTCCTTCCATGTCACCGGCCTTAAAGGCCCCCCAAGTTATCCCTAACATTGTGAATCACCAGCCAGGCAGCTACCACAGCAGCCTCTCTGGACGAGGCCCTCGGTTATCCGGCAGGCCAAGGCCACGGGGAGTGCTGAGTCAATCAAATGCCCTGCTTATTAGATCCTGCCTGCATCACCAACTGCCGAAGTGTTAGAGGGCAGCACACACACAGCTGACTCTGTATCTGCTCTTCACTTGATTTGGTCTTGCTTCGGGGCAGTTGTGATTTAATAGCAAGTACAATGCCTGGGACACAAAAAAATCAGGTTCTGGCTGCTCTCTTATCAACTATGACACTGAAAAAGTCCCTCCCATTCTGGGCCTCTGGGACCCATCCATGAAGGGATGACCTTGAACCAAGCCGGTTCCAGGGACCCTTCCAACTTTAAAAGGGATTCTGACTCCAGGTTTACCTTCTGTGTGAGAGTCCCAGGACTGTCAAAATGAAACGGTTAAGTATTGAGCACCTGGGCCTCTGCTGGCCCCTCCATGCTTGATCACATTCGCTCCTCACACCATTCCCAAGAAGTAGGTGCTCTATAACCCCTACCTAATGGAGACCCAGAGAGGTTAAGTCGCAAGCCCAGGGTCACCCAGCTCGCAGGCAGCAGAGCCGGAGTTCAGACCCAGGGGGTGGGTTTGAGCTTGGTAAGCAGCAGCACCAGGGAGAAAACATGTAAGTACAAACGGGGGTAAACCCTGTCAAGACGTAGCAATGCTAACAAGTTGGGATTATCAGTACAGGAATTCTCCCGATCCTGTCTTTCCCCTTTTCAATTGCTTTCCACTCTGAAAGGCGGCTCAGGTGGGAGCCTTTCCTGAAGCAATAGGAGCAGCTCTGATTTTCCCAGAGGACCTGTTCCCCTCCGGTGACCTCTGAGGATCCTGCTGGGAGGGAACACTCCTCAATTTGTGTTTTCCCAATAGGCATGCAAGGGTGTGGTCACTGGACAGAGCCACCCTGATTCTTAAAGTTTAGTGTGCACGGGTATCGCCTAGGGCACTTGTTTCAAATGCTGATTCCAGGGCGCTGCCTCTAGCATTCCCATTCAGGAGGCCTGTGGTGGGGCCCCAGAACCTGCATTTCTAACAAGCACTCCTGCCCCATTCTACTCTGGCTGGTGGAAGAGGAAAACTTTGAATTTTTTTGGAGTGGTCCCTGTGATCTCGGATTCCAAGATTTAGTGAATTTGGCTTCCCCAGCTTAACCCACCATCCTATCCCCATCATCCCCAGAGGCAGCAACGGGAGGTGCATACAGGTTGGAGGGTGACAATGAGTCAGTCCATAGCAATATTCCCCACCCTCTTTACCCAAGTTCCTCATGGAGGGGTTTGGGGTGAGACCTACCTCACTGGCTTTCTCAGGGGTGCCCTTGGGGGAGGGGGAGGCAGGTGAGGAGGGCAGCCTACGCTCCCGCTCCCAGTCTCGGTCCCGGTGGATAAGTTTGCTGTTGGGTTCCTTCAGGGTCCTCTTGAGCTCATTGATGCTGGCCTGGTGCTTCAGCAAGACGTCCTCTGGCTTGTCTAAGAACTAAGGGTGGAGAAGAGGACAGCCAGGCATTAGAAGACCAGCTCCGCAATGGGGTGCAGGGTGTAGTGAAGATGCCAACAGTCACCATCACTGTCCTATATGAACAAGGCGAGTCCCCTCCATGGCCCGGTGTCACTCTCACAGCGCCTCATGAACCAAGCAGGGCAGGGATGTTAGCCACATCAGGTGCACAGAGCACTTAAGATTAAAAAGAGGAGATTTCTGGGCAAGCACCACCTTTTCTTCTCCCGTTTGGCTACTGGCCTTAGAGCACAAAGCTAACCAAATCCCACAGGTCTGGGTGAGTTCCCTGTGGTGCTGTTGAGTCCAGTCTTAGGCACAGAGGTGACTTCCCTTTGCTCACAATCAAGGGACAGTGAGAATTTGCCAACGCTGTTCACTGGGCAGCTCCGGCCCCCTCCTTGGCCTCCCAGATCCTGTTCCCCACCTCTGACCAAGACTTGGACAACTGTGCCTAGCATGATCCCCAGTCTAGGCCCCTCCTGTCCCAAAATATGCAGTTAATCAAGCCCTGAGGGGCCCTTCTAAAGCCAGGGACATCCAGTAAAGTGGGCTCTGCCCCCACACCAAGAACGGGGACCAGGAAGACTATGTTCAGTATTCTCTGCTGACGGCCACTAACTTTCCCAACCACCCAGAATCTTCCCGATACCTTGTAGGTACCGATTCCTCAACAGCAGACTGGGTGAGATGCAGACAGAGAGAGAAACTAGGATGGTGTGGGGTGTTCAGGAGGGTTAGGAGATTTAGAGACCAGGAAGAAGAGAGGTAAGTCCAAGGCTGGACACAAGAACTGAGCCAGGCATAGCTGGAGTCATAGGTGTGTCCCACATTAAACTGCCAAGTCTGAGCTCTGGCCAGTGCATCACGACAGAGTAACCTGCCCCTCGGTCATGTGAGGTGCAGCCTTTGCACAGGAGATGAAAGTGACCTGCCAAAGCTGCTTATCTACCTACTTCTGGAGGCAGGGCGGTGGGCTGTTAGTCCAAGGACCCTTATCTACAAGGCTGTTTGAGAATTCACGTGAACTCAATTCAGGGCAAGAAATGGACAGTCTTGGCTTATTATAAAGTCAGATTAAATGATTCTAGAACTACTTGGAAGGTAAGCTTGTCCTTGGACAAGCTAGACTCTTCCCCCAGGATTATCTCTGGCATCCAAGGATCTACTATGGTTGATTCCTAGGTGACTTCAGAAAGAAAACCAATGCTACTGAGGCTTCTCCTTTGCCTCTAAACATCTGAATGTACCTCTGGCATCCTTTCCTGAGCTGAGCTGTCTCAAGGCAATGTCTGAGAAATCAAGCCTGATGGAATTTGCACGGGGCATGGGTTTAGGCTGCCACGGACCAGAGATGTGTCTTGTGACCTTCTGTCCTGTACCTGCTGCTCTGGCTCTGTGAGCATGCAGTATTCCTGAAGGCCAGAGGAAGCCGCAGAAACCTGAGCTCCTTGAAGTGCCTTGGGGACACCTAGCCCAAAAGCCGTACTTGCAGATGGGGAGCTGGGGTCTGAGGGTTCATCCCCAAGACCCTCAAAGCACCAGTGACAGAATCAGGGCTAAAACCCAGATCACGGGACTCTAAGGCCAGGCCCTTCTGGACACCCCAGCCTCTGGCCCTTCCCCTCGGGCCCAGGAATAAATCTACTTCCCTCACAGTGAAAGTTCAAATGAAGAGTTGTAGATGGTATGAAAAGGAAGAAGTGGCTAACACAGGAGGTATAAGGTGAGGGAAGCACAAGGGAAGAGGAAGAGGAGAGAGAGCAGGAGAAAAGGAGGAGGCTTTCCTGACGGAGCAGAGTAGCAGCAGGCCCCGCCCAGAGGGAGGGGCAACAGAGTCTGAGAAAATGCAGGTGTGCTCCGAGGCTCCTCCCTCCCACCCCTCCCACATCTGGTTGCCAAAAGATACAAAAAGAAGCTTGGGGTGAGGGTACAGGGGACACAGATGAAGAGGAGATGAGTCCAAGAAACGGTTCGAGGATGAGACAAGCTCAGTGAAAGGGCAGAATTGCCTGGAAGGGCTGGGGAACACAAGTGGGATAGTCAGCAGGGGTGGGGAGCAAGGCAGAGTATGAAGCTGGGTAGAGGGGGGTAAGGAGAGAGGGGAAACACTGCTGGGGGTGCAGACTGAGCAGGATGTTGGAGAGATGAGTTTAACAAGGGGGCCTGAGGGGGACTGTGTTGGGGATGGGACTGAGGGGATGGTAGGAGGAGGAGGATGGCCAGGGAGCAGAGGTGAAGCTAAAGCTGAGATGGTACCAGATGAGCCTGGGATGGACTGTGGGGTGGTGACAAATGAGCTGGGTAGGTAGGGACAGGTCCCATGCAGTACCTCCTGCTTGTGTCTCGGCGTGGTTTCCTGCTCCGGCTAGCGGACGTGGGAGGAGGGAAAGGAACCAGCAGGGTCAGTAGAGCCAAAGGATTAGAGACACCGCGACCGACCTGGTCCAGCAGGTAGCCCAGAGCACTCTCATCCAAGCCACAGAGGCCAGGGAAGCTGGGTGGGCCACCCACAGGCAGTGAGTGGTCAGAGGAGTGGGGTTTGGAGCAGGGAGCTGGCCCAGGGAGATGAAGAAAGGGGTGGGAGGACTGGAGGCAAAGTGAGCAGCCAGTCACACTTGGCAGATGGAAGTGGGGGTTCTGGGTATTCCTGCTTCTTGCAATCAGCATGTGTGTTCAGGGACCTGTGCTCCCAAGTGGGGCTGCATGATGGAAACACCTCTACCCGCGTGCACACGTGCCCGTGTGCATGTTGTTTGAAAATCTGGGTACATAACCCTATGGGGGAGGGGTGTGCATCTGTGAGTGAACACATGCGAGTCTGAGGCCATGTGTGCCTGAATGAGTGTGTTCACAGGTGTGTGGGAAATGGAGGCGCGCCATAGGAGGGGGACACTTGTGAGGGCCCATAGAAACACCCCATTGTGCTCTGGGGAAAAAAGGGGTTGTGCAGATTCCAATCATAGTCAAAGGGGCAAATTCAGAGCGGGCAAGAGGAGGCCGGAGTCCCCTAGGGGAGAGAGTGTTCCTCTGGGAAAGCAGGGCAAAAGGAAGGTGTAGGGAGGGGAACATGCCCCGCTTACCTGGGCATGTCCAGGTATTGAGCATGACCCAAGGGCAAGGCCCTGAGGATGGTGCACCCCATAGCAAGGGTGCTCGGCCACAGCTGTGGCATCTGAAGGCCAAGGCCAAGGCTAAACACAGGATCAGCCTCCCAATCCCCAGATCAGAGGGTATGAGAAAGCCAGACTCCTACCTTCAGCTCCTTGATCTTGGTGGGGGTCCTGACCTCTCCCTCCTCAGCCTCTGACCGCCGCCCCCCAGACTCGCCATCTTCCTCCCGCTTGTCACCATCAGGTCCTGCGTCATGGTTCTCGCTGACCGAGGCTGGGCGGGAGAACTCTGCTAAAGGGGCAGAAACAGCCAGGCGGCCATGTGAGACACCTCCCAGGTGCATGACAGGGAGCTGGCCCTGCCACTCGCTCATCCATGCTTGGAGTAGAGCAGATACTTCCACATCCCCAATACACTGGGGACAAGAAGCCAGTGCCCAGCTGAAGTGAAGTAGCCTTCCCCAGGTCACGTGGACTGTCTCCCAGCCCTGGGTCCCCTTCTGATATCTATAGTACTAGAACCCAGATTCGAATCTCAAATCCATCTCTTCTTGGCTGTGTGACCTTGGGTAAATTACACAACCTCTCTGGGCCTCAGTTTTCTCATCTAAACAGTACCTACTTCAGACAGCTGGAAAGGGAGGGGTAGAAACAAAGAAGTTAATGTGTATAAGAATTTAGAAGAGCGACTGGCACAGATTAGCCAAGTCAATCAATGTTGGCCCACAAATGTTGATTTTCTTGTTGTGGCATCTGGCATTCTAAAACACTTTCCTGCATAGGAAAGAAAGGGGTGGAATTACACCCTTTACACCAGACTCTGGGCATTACCCAGACTGTGCCCATGGATTGTGTCTTGGTAAGAAAAAATGGCTGGAAAACACTGAATTAAAATGACCAGAGCACAGATTACCCTTCAGACTGGCCTATATTAAAAAGGAGAGAATTATTCTTTCTATTCATACATATTTACTCTGCAAAGTGCCCAGTCATGCACATTATTTCATTTAGCCACACAATGCTCTGTGTTTATGGCTAGAATGGAAATTATTATCTTCATTTCACAGAGGATTAAGTGAGGCTCTGAGACCTTTAGGTGAATCAGGAGGAGAACCCAGGCCTACTGGCTTAGAGTCCAGGCTTCCGGTCCCCTCTTGATGAGCCTCACCAAATCTGGGCCATTCTTTGCTGCCTTGCACAATCTGGGCTTCATTTAGCCCCTGGCATAGTAATGAAAACTGCAGGGGAGGAGAGAGAGACAGTGGGGGCCCTTCCTTCCTTCTGCATACCGTATTTTGCCATGTAGAATGCATGCTTCTTTTGCCCAAATTTTTAAGGGAAAAATTAGGATGTGCATTATACATGGGTAGTACTAATTCCATGTCTATATAAATGCTTTTAATTCTTTTATTTATGCTTATGCATTAAAAGTGTAATTCTAGAAAGCAATAACAGTATCCATATGCAAAATAATACCCTGGAATACGATCATCGGTTTTGTTGCTAAATATAAATAAATAAATACTTGAATCAAAATATTAAAAAGAAAGTTTTTCCTGAAAATTTAGGCCAAAAATGTGGGTGCACATTATACACGGGAGCGCATAAACATGGCAAAATATGGTAAATCTTAGCTTTCGGCCCAGTGCCCATTCAGGAAGAATAAGGAGCTTCCCCCACCTCAAATGGACTCTTGCAAAACTGTCCTTCGAAAACGGCCAGTGAGTCCTGAGACGGGTCTCACTTTCATACTGCACGGAAAGTGTCAGACTCCTCTGACCACCCAGACAACTCCTAGGTACCCTTCCAAACCCTGCCCAGTTATCACCCTCTCTGCAGAGTCCTTTCTGCCCCTCCCAGGCAGAATTTCATCCCTCTCTCCTCAAGGCTGCTGTGTATTCTCTCCATACTTCTGCTGCTTGAATCACATTAAATGCGTACAAACCTACTATTCTAGGAGCTCCTCAAAGGAAGGAGCCATACGTATTCTACATTCAGAAAATATTTGTTGAGTGGAACTAACCTGCCTAGAGGCTGGCCCCAGTGTACTCTGGGAGTATTCACTGTTCCCCTATGCAGGTCCCTACCTCCCACCTTTAAACTACTCTCTACAAACCTAAAAGCAGTAATAGTTTATTATCGGGCACTATTTTTTACAGGGAGATTTTATTTTATTTTATTTTATTTCCATCAGGGTATTATTTATTAAGGTCCTACTATGTGCCAGGAATTGTTTTGGGTGTTGTAGAGGCATTATCTCATAACATGGCAAAGTAGCTATTCTTTATTTTGCAGAAGAGGAAATAGGCACAGGGAGTCATGCCGATCAAGGCCTCCCATCTATTCATTCAGATGTTTATTGGCCACATCCTGTGTCCACAGAGCAGCTGGTGGGTGTCAAGGCTGAGATTTTTAACTCAGATCTACCAAACTCTGAATCTCTCCAGTGCCCCATGTAGCTTCTAAATGTCTCCAGTGTACATATTGCGGGAGTCCTGGGCCCTGAGGGGTACCGATTTAGTCTGGGCCAGGGTCTGGGAATCTGAGTGTTTAGCAAACTCACAGGTGATTCTGATGCAGGTGGTTTATGGACCACATTTTGAGAAGCCTTGGTCTGCTCGTACAGGAAAATGTAGGGCCAATTCTTGTTGATATTGAGGGCACCTGTCCCCTCAAGAGCAGAGCGCCATGTGGTTAGATGTCAATCAGCTCAAGAGAACCAAAAGAATGGGAACAATCCCTCTACCTCCAGTCAGGTAAGGCATCACCAACTTCACGTGGCGGTCACAATACATCGTTCTCCTGGGATGATGACAATCTGTGACTCACTAAGCATCTTGGGCAGGGGATCCCTGAAAACCATACAGCTAAACCTGGGACCCAAAAGGCTCCGAGAAGTCATGGGAAGTCCAAGAACGGCAATGTCATATCCCAGTGATAGTGAAGCCATAGGTTGGGGCTGAACCACTGAGAGCTGCGCAGGGCCGCAGAGTTCTCAGGCCACCATGCCCAGTGCAAATCAGCCTATGTTGTGTCTACCACCTTCACTGCTCCTTCTGCACCTGGCATGCCCACCCCCCTTCCCTCTGAACACCACTCTTCCCCCACCTCCAGTTTGGGGCATACCTCCATCAAGGCTGCGGGACATGGTGTACCGTTTGCTGGAGGAACGCTCGAAGAAGGGTGCGGGCCGGTCAATGAGAGCGCTGGCCTGGCGGGTCTGTGCCTGGGTCCTCCCACTATACCGGAACTTGGAGCCCATCACCAGGAAGCCCTTGGGTGGGGGCTCGGGGGACACCAGCCTGCAGTGGAGGGATGGAGGTGCGGAGGGGGATCACACCTGCATTACCAGGCCCAAGGCTAGACCACAGCTGGCCTTTTAGCCCTTTGTCCCACCAGCTACAATTCTAAGTGGTCCAGGAAGGGAGAGACTTCGGCAGGGCGGCGTCTTTCCCATGGTCTTTACTAGCTTCTCCTTCGGCTTTCCCCTCACAAAACACAGATATCACCTGCACGTACACTCACGGCCTCTGCCACAACCCCGGACACCCCGCCCCAGGGTCTGGCTCACCGGAAGAATGTGTGGTGCTCAATGCAGACCTTCCACAGTCTCTTGGCTGACCGGTGATTTGGGAGCTTAAAGCCAATGGTGCTCTCAAACTGCTCATACTGCAATACCAAGGAGGGTGGGTAAGAAGGAAGACCTGGGCCCCCTCACCACCAAGTCCATCCTTTCTGAACCTCTTCTCAGCATGTGTGACTCTGGCCTGTTCATTCATTTACTCATTTGTTTACTCAATAAGGTGGATTGAACCCCTACACGTGATAGGCCCTGTGCAAAGCAAGAGACGCCATGGTGATTAAGACAAAAGATTTAGGGGAGAGGGGGTTTTGATAATAAACAAGTAAAAAAGATAATTTTGGATACCGCCAAGGTCATAAAGGGAATGAACAGAGAAAACCTGGGTAGGCACAGGGTTGGGTACTATTGTACAAAGAGTGATCAGGAAATGCCCTCTAAACAGCTGATCCCTGAGCAGAGATCTAAAGGATGGGGAAGGAACCAGCAACCTGAGAAGGTGGGGAAGAGGGAAGATGAAAAGCAAACAGCTCATGGCGGGCGGGGAAGAGCTTGCTCAGTTCACGGATTTCAGAGAAGGCCAAAGGGGCCGGAGAGCAGGGGCCATGGGGAAGGCCATGGGGCAGCGATATGTGGGAGAGGAAGGTGGCCACAGATGGAGTTTGGACTTTACCCAAAAGCCAAAGGGAGCTCTTGAAATAATTAAGCAAGGAGTGGGAGTAGGAGCTGAGTTTGCCGTGATATGATGGAAGGGTGCTCCCTTTAGCAGCTATGAGGAAAATGGCCTGGAGTGACAATGGGGGCAGGGCAGCTAGTGAGGACATTGTGGAGATGCAGATGAGAGGCAGTGGCTGTTGGTGGCAGGTGCAGTGCAGGGGAAAGAAGCAGATGGGTTTGCATTTATTGTAGAGGTAGAACCAAATGGAACTTTTGATAGGTGAGCCGTGGAGGTTGGATGTATACATGATTCTGTTTGTGTGTAGTTGCATATTTATATGTATCTTTGTATGTGTACATACTTGTATATTATATGTAAGCAAATACAGAGACATGGACATGTATTCATTGATCTATGCACACAGAATATATGTGGTTATCTTTATATGTATGCTCGCATGTGCATGTGCTGGCACACACCTAAGGAATGAAGTCTCTGAAAACAGCCCCAGCAGAAGATTGCTCTCTCTGCACCCAGCATCCCAGCATCCCATCCACGTATCCTGAGTAGGAAAAATCCAGGCCCAGCTACCAGGATCTTTTCCATTCTAGTCAATTCTGGTGAGGAGGAGGGGCTCCCAAGTCAGGCTCACCTCCCCAGGACGGATCTTGATGTAGAAGTTACTCCTCTTGTAGGAGATCTTGAGAATCTTGGGCCAGGCAAAGCGGTTGATTCTCAGGCGGTCCCGGTAGATGAGCAGACCGTTGGCACAGACGCCTAACATAATGTCAATGCCCTCAGAGTCCTGTGCGAGAAGGGACCATGAAACAACAGCAGGCCTGGTGTGTGCTTGGGGGCTACCTGCCACTGATCCCCCCAAGTCCCTCCCTGAGCTCTGCTTATAAACGAGCCCCAAGGAGCAGGTGGATTTGGAGCCTTCATGCTGGAGTTCCCTGACCAATTGCTCATTCAGCCATTCTCTGTCATTCTGTCATTTATTCACCCACTCACTCGTTCAATCGTTTGCTCTACTAATCACTTATTCTTTCAGCAAACACTTAATGGTACATATTCTGTGCCAGGCCATGTGCTTACATGCTAGGGAAACAGAAATAAATTAAGGCCCTGGCTTTCCTTCACAATGATCCCAATCTAGTGATGGCACAAATAGGTTCCAAAATAAATACAAAACAAGAAGAAAATGATAATGATCATGGAAAAATAAAGGGTTATGGAACTTTGCGGAATGAGAAATGAGAACAGAGAAGGCTTCAGGTTGGCAGGAACACAGGCCTGGCACACTGAGCCCTCCAGGAGAACATGGCAGTTCACTGGAGACCCCCCCAGATGCTAGGGAGACCCGCGGTACCTTGGCATGGTGCAGGTCCACTCCGTACATGGAAAGCTTCTTGGCATTTTCTAGGAAGTGGATTTCTGCCTCTCCTGGGGTCATGCCCCTGAGGGAAAGAAAGTGATCACAGGTGGCCATGGGAAAGGCCCAGGCCTGGGTCCTGCTGCCTGAAGGTGAGCACGGTCAGAACCTGTCATCCTGGGAAGGCAAATGTTCTGGAGCAGGTGTAGGGCTGGGCCTTCCCGTCTGCCCTCAGTGCAGGATGGTGCACCCCCCATCCCCCACCTCTTCAATCTACCCAACCCCCATCTCCCGCCAAAGCTCAACTCCCATCTTGCTTCCCCCACGAAGCATTCAAGGGCTGGGCTGGGAGTCAGGATTTTGGCTCATTCTGCTACTGAGTTAAATGTGAGCAAAAAATTCTGCTTCTCTGTGACTGTGAAGCCATTGTGAAGACTTTGTCCACTGTAAATTAGGGGACCCTGTGCCCCTAAATTACTACCCACATAAGATACTTATCTTAGAATATTATATGAGAAACCATGTAACCTCCCCTGAGGAACAGGTACCATTCTCCTTTCTGAAGAGAAGTGTTATGTAATTCAAGCTCCTTATTTGCTTTGACTTCCACAACCACCGTACATTTTACACTTAGTCACAGTAAACACTTAATGAGGACTACACGCAATTACTGTTCCAAGCACTTTACATGTCTGAACTTATTAAATCCTCAAAACAATTCTATAAAGTAGGTATATCATTATTCCCATTTTACAGGTGAGGGAGCTGTGGCACAGAGAGGTTGAATAACTTGCCGAAGGACACAGTTTAAGTAGCAAAGTCAGGATCTGAATCCAGAATTTGTGTTCCCGACCACGACTCTTATATCTGTCTCTTTTCCTCTGGGCCTCAGTTTCCTCTGCTCTGCTCACCTCAGTGATCTCTGAGATACTAGATGTCAATGTGTTCTCAGTCAAAAGAATTGTAATGAGACGGCCATTAGCATTTCTCCAGCCCATATTGTTCTGAACTTGTTTCTCTGTATCACAGACATACCTTGAAGATATAGCAGGTTCACTTCCAGGCCACCAGAATGAAATTAATATTACAATAAAGTGAGTCACACAATTTTTTTGTTTCCTAGTGCATAGAAAAGTTATGTTTAAGCTATACTCTAGTCTATTAAGTGTGCAAAAGTATTGTGTATATAAAATGGTCATAGCTTAATTTAAAAATACTGTATTGCTAAAAAAAAAAAAATGCTGTTATCTGAGCCTTTAGCAATCCACAATCCTTTTGCTGGTGGAGGGTCTTACCATCAATTTATTACAAATGCCATATCTGTGAAGTCAAATAAAACAAGGTATGTCTGTATTCTGACTCTTGCAAATCCCTAATACATCTTACTACCTGCAACAGGAATGACAAAGGGATGGCAGGCAAGCCATCACCCCCTGTCTCGGAGCCAGGCAGATACTGTTAACCAGTTGTGTGGTTTCAGTATCCTACTCAGCACAATACAACAACGGCCATTGCTAACCCATCAGAGCTGGTGTGCGAGTCTTGGAGAGAGCATTTGCCACCCAGACCCAGCATTCTGGGTCACACCCCAGCAGGCTTTCTTCCCCACACCTGGCCCTGGGCATGCTCTCCTGCTGCAGCCCCCAGGACACAGCCTCTTCATTCCCTCTGTCCTTATTAGCAATGAGATAACATCGCCACATGCTGCACTTTACGGTTTATAATGCACTTTCAGAGTTTACCACATTGGGTTTCCATAACAACCCTGGCCTTGGAGTCCAAAGCACTTCCAGCTTGAAAGGACCTTAGAGACCATTCAGCTTCAGGGGTTCCCCACAGGGGATTGGTACCATCCTTATATTGGGCACTGGGAAATGGGGGAGGGGCACTTGGGTAGCTACAATGACTGAGGGGGTGATATGAGCATTCAACAGCTGGGGCCCAGGCATGCCACGCATCCTCCAGAATAAATCCTCCTACTCCACATACCAATAGTTGGGAACCACTGATAATCTAAGTCTGGACAAGTACAGGTGAAAAATGAGGCTTGACAGGTTAAATAGCCAGTCCATAACCACACATTCAGCTCATCATCTAGCTTCTGCAAGAAAGTGCTTTCCTGTCTGCACAATCAACTATCCAAGCCCTCAAATGAAGGAGAGCAACAATAATAGCTGACGTGCAGTGATTTAGTCCTCCCAACAACCCTCCAGGGCAGGTTTTAATAGTCTACACTGAACAGATGAGGAAACTAAAGCAGAAGGAAGTAAAATGACAGGCCTGAGAGCCCCTTGTTAGAAAGTGGCAAGGCCAGATGGCGAACCCAGGCAGTCGGCTTTACAGTGCAAGCTTTTGAACTTTATGCCACAATCCAGACATCAGGACTTACTCCAGGACACACAATAGTTATTATTTCCAGGTGGCAGGTAGAGAGACTGATTCTCAGAAGTCAAGGACGTGGAATTATCACACTCGCAGAGGAGCTCAGGACCTGAGTTCCCAAGAGGTCATTTAAGGTCACAGAGCTAGTTACTATCATTCCCATCTGATAAGATGATTTGCCCTAAGATTTGTACCTCAAATTAGCAGCAGTGGCGGGGCGGGGGGTGGGGGGGTGCGCAGGGGCGGCTGGTACTTACAGCACTGCACCTGGGGGCCTAGCAGGGAAGGTTCTAGGAAAGTCCTGGGTGGAGGCCCTCTTACCTGTATGTCTTGTGCAGCTCCATGATCCTCTCCTCCAGCTCTCGGGTCTGGTTGGGGGCAAAGCGGAGCTCGCTGACATAGTTGCCCACGTGCTCCTCAGCATCATAGTCGCCCAGCTCAGCCTGCACGGCGTAGGAGCCCAACAGGGCATGCGTGACGAAGGAGCAGGGCAGCCGGCCTGTGATGATGTCCGCCCGCAGCTGCAGGCACAGGTAGTATCTGGAGATAGGGGAGAGTGGGCATGGGCACGGGGACCCTCCCTCCCAGGATGCCCCCGAGCACAGCTGCCCACTGACACATCAGAACCAAGCTGACCACCACTCAGCTCAGCAGAAAAGGGATGATCCTCGATGCTGGCATTTCATATGACTTGAAGCATTTTTATTTACATCTAAGTTTGAAGGATTTTTCCTACTGTGGGAACATTTTCAATTTCTAACTCACTTTCAAGCTAAATAGGATGACTTTGACCACTTTCATAAAATGTCATGTATTTTTGTTAATACAATGAATATAATGATTGTGGGAAAATGTAAACGTTAGAGGTGACCCTAAACTTCCTCTTGATGTGCATCTCAGAATCCCTCCCCCACACTGGAGGTCACCCCGTTATCTGTGCTATTCTTGAACTTTTTCCTCCATGGATGTACAGACCTGCCTGTGATTTTCACTCGTGTGTTTTTAACATATACATGGTATCAAATGCTACATCTAATTCTACAGCTGGCTTTTGCAGACCCAACTATGTGACACAGACCTTTCCCAGGTCAGTACATGAGACGTGACCTCACTCATTTTAACTTCTGCAAAGCACACCCACAGCCCGGACGGACCTGCTTGCCAATGTTTTCTCAACACTTTTTATTTTGCCTCTAGTGCTAAGTGAATTGTCTAAAAATAAATTGAGTTAAAAGAAACATTTCCAACCACTAGGCCATGATTTTTTATAACTTTTATGCACACTTGGATGATTTTACAATTTTTAGGACCATTTAAAACCATTTTTTATTGCTTTTTTGGTTACTGTGTATTAAAAAAAAAAATGTTTCAGTCCATTCTCCGCCAGCAATGCCTACTTGCCCATTTTGCTATGTTTCATCATTTTTTCAATTGCCTGTTTCTTTTTCTTTTAAGTGGCTTTTATTTAATATAATTTTTATTGCTAGCATGATATTCTCTTGCAGTCTCATCTGAAGCTCTGGCAGGAAGTACGTGCAGCCTCAGTGTGTGCTCAGGGCCAAGGCGCAGGCTCAGAATCAGCAGCAGCTCAAACATTGTACATAGTGAGTGTAGACAGATGAGCATTTTGTTCAAGTCTAAAATTTCAGAAATCATCACCAAGCACTCTGATCAATATTTCATTTCAATCAATTTGTCATTTTGACCAGTTTATTACAGGCCTGGATATTTTTTACTAAGTCAGCCCCTCCCCTGGGGTCATCCATGCTGGACAAGGCTAAGTTCCCTCCTGGGGTCCCGGAAGCCTGATGCCTGAGGACTGGCACAAAGAGAAGCAGCACCAGCGGGAGAGGCCACAGGGGCGGGGCTGAGCTGGTCTAAAGCTCTCAGCTCTCCCAGGAATGGATGCTAAATCTTGGCCCCAAGATGGACCTCAGGGCTAATGAGGCCAAGGCCTCAGGCCAGATCTATTCCAGGGACAAATGTCTTATCTCCCAAGGCCACAGTCAGCATCTTGACGTTGGCCCATTGCCTGGCGAACAGGCAGCCAACATGATTAAGGAGGGACTCAATGGCAGGGAGGGGCTGGCTCAACAGTCCTCTCCTGCTGTAGGTATAATGCCAAGTCCATTTCTAATTGTTGATGGGTGTGTAGGGCCCAGCATAGGGATGACACAGCCCAGGACATCATGAAGTGAGACTATCTCTTTGGATTGAGTTTAGATAAAGAGAAGGGTCTCTCACAGTTCTGGTTTGCAGAGGTAGAATGAGCCTCATAAAAGCTCTCATCCTGAAGGATGCTTTGCACCCCCTTTCAATCTTCAAGCCACATTACCTACTGGCCCTGAGGCACAATGACGCTGCACATGCAATCCCTGTGCATGCCAGCAGCCCAGGCTTGCCTCTGGGGGCAGGGGTTAATGCTTCATTTAACCCCCACATGCCTGCCGTGTGCATGGAACAGCACACAGGACCAAACTTCCATGTGCAAAGGCATCTGCACTCTGCTCCCTCCTTATCCCCAAAGTTGAAAACTAATGGTCCACCCAGTACATCAGATCTTCAGATGTTTTTGGCTGGTCCTATCCAGAGATGCCACACTACATTTGTTTTTTAACTTTGAATTAGTTTCCAACATTTAAAAGTTATGGTTTTTATTCTCAAAGCGGGCCCAATTCCCACAAGGCCACGATTGCGCAAGCTCAACGGCAATTGTCTTAGTTGGCCTCTGTGCCCGTGGATTCACACCGGTCCCCATCGCTCTCTGTGACACCTCCCCCTCTGAAGTCAATGATCCCCTGCCATTGACCACTGTGTTTGCATCAGTCTCCCCTGCACTGAGTCAGCTTCCTTTGTTGATAGGGTCTGCCTGGCCTCGGGAGGTATCTGAGTCTGCAGTTGCCACCACATACCACCCCATGTCTCCCACGGCCAGCACACCTGACCCCTCCCTCCACAGCCCTCACCTTGTGATATCTTCTGTCAGCTGCGCAGGATCAGGGGGGTAGAACTTGACTGTAAAGGCAAAATTCCAGGGGCTACCTGAGAGAAGAAGACGGGGCAGAGATCAGAGAGGTCCCATTACCTTCGTGGGTGGCGCAGGTGAACCATCCTATCAGTAATTTTCAAAGTCTTCTCATGTTTATAATCCCAGGACAATCCAATCAGGGAGACTGGAACATTCCCACTTAACAGGTGAGAAGACTGAGACCCAAGTTAAGAGACTTATGAATGAGCAGTAGGAAGGTAAAAAGAAAGAACACCAATGGTGCACACAGGCACACGATTAATTATTTTACAAACATCACTTCATTACATCTCTATGAGTAAATCCTATGATTATCCCCATTTTGCAAATGAGGCCAGCCCAAGGTCACCCGGCTAGGAATGGGGGCACTGGGGTTCGGACTGAGGCCACCTGGCTCCAGAGCTTGTGCCCCTTCCTCTTCAGCAAAGTCTATGCCACAGGACATTAATGAGGAAAAGTCTAGGAAGCACCATATTAAACAGGTTTTCTAACTTTAGACTTCTCAGAGCCCTCACTCTGCCATTATAAATTGTACCTCTCTAAAGGAGACAAGCTTTCAAGAGTTCCCAAAACTCATTTGACCTGCTGTATCCATTTTTCATAAGGCAGATTAATGTTCCCTGAAACACACTTTGGAAAACTCTGCCCTATCTCGTTTTAACTCTATCTCAAATGACAGAATTGGATTATAAACAAGGCCTAAAAGGCAAATGTGATGGGCTAAAAGTAACAAAGGACATTTCTCAGGAATAAATGTTAACCTCCACATTTAGATATGAAAAATTAATGGTACATCTATAGAAGGCAGAGAGCACTAAAGGCTGAGGTTTTAGCTGGAAATTAGCTCTGAAGCCAAGAGAAGGGATGACCTTTTACGAAAGGGAGAGAGGTTCGTGGCAGAGGGAGGGAGAGGGGGAGAGAGACTGAGAGGGGGTATTGATGAAAGGCTACAGTCCTGAACAGTGGTCAGGCCACCCCTGGGACATTTCAGGGGCCATGCTCTCAAAAGACCCCTGACAGTGAGAAAGTGAGGCCCATCCAGGACAGGGCAGGAGTCACGGAGGGCTGGAGGCCAACCTGCCACTACAGTCCTTGTCCCTGTGGTCATCTCCATCTTCACCACATAGCTTTCATGTCTCCAACACTTACTAAGCGTTGGTCACTTATTTTGCTAACAAAGTTACACAGGCACATATAGGAATTTAATCTTCATCCTGATCATGAGGTTGACTTTTGTTTCTATAGATGAAGATTTTGAGAGATTAAGTCACTCTCCCAGGGTCACTCGGTTAGACAGGGGTCTAATCTTGTGTCACCTGAGCCTAGAACCCAGGCTCCTGACCATAGCTGACTCCTTGGAAAAAGAAGCCTCTAAGGGAAACAATCCCTGTCTCAGAAGTAGTGATAGTAATAATAATAGTAATAACTAATATATATTGGATGCTACTTGTGCAGGTATCATTTTAGGTGTTGTGCCCCTAATAACTCATTTAATCCTCACAACAACCCTAAAGGTAGGTACTATCGTTATTTCCACTTTACAGATGAGGAAACTGACACACAAAACAATATAAGAAGTATTGATAAAGTCAGAAATCAAATCCAGGCCGTCTAGCCTCATTCTCTCTCCTTTTAACCATCAAACCACACTGTGTTCAGAGAAGCCCCTACTATGTGCCAGGTATTGTCCACACATATGTCATTTAACTGTCATTCCTACCATGTGGGGCAGGAATCACTAATCCACTTGCCAAGGAGGAGCAGGAACCCAGAGGGACGGAGGCATTGTCCCCAGTGCCCTAGGTGATGGCTGCAGAGATTTGGGAGGAAACGTACCCGACTCTGAAGCCCAACACACAAGGACCTGTGCCAGCTTCAGAAGGCTGAGGAAGCTGTCTCAAAAAAAGAAAGGGGGTAAAAAAAATTGCTCCACGGGGGCCCCAAAGCACAGAACGTTAATGAATGGGTGAAAGTTACATGGGTAGGGACAGAGACTGTGGCTCTACACCAGGGGGCAGCACTGCTCCTTGATGGATGACCAATGACCTATGACCAATGGGCACTGACTTCCTGCCCTGGGGAGGGAGCTGAGACACCACTGTTGTCTGCTGTTTCTCTTTCCTAAACTTTGGGTTCTTCCCTAATACCGCGCACTGTATGTGCTCTGATCCTTCCAAGCAGGAGGGCCAGACCTCCCCAGCTGGGGCTGCTGGGGACAGCCTGAAGCCCACGCCTAGGACCTGGACAGCTCCAGAAGAGCATGCTCTGTCTGTGTGCCTCCCTCTTTGTCTCCAACTGACAGAAGCCGAAAGGAAGAATTCCTCAAGCCCCCTCCCACAGAGTCAGCTGGCATCCCTGAGCCCAGATGCCTGCTGTCATGGCAACAGGCTCCGCTAGAGCCTCCTAGCCCAGGGACCCGAGAGTCCAAGCAAGGGGGAGGTTGTCCAGGCTCCAGGTCTCTGCGTATTGCATGACCCCTGGTGGAGGCCACCTACCTCCCCCTGGCACCATTTGAAGGCTGCCCTACCCCTCCCAACATAAAGCAGAGGTCATCAGCCTACTCATCTGGTCTTTGTGCTCCAGACCTTGAAAAAGAGTGCAGGATGGTGTCAGAAGGCCAGGGCGTGGGACCTGACTCAGCCAATAGCTTGCTCTGTGACCTTGGGTATATAACTGCCTCTCTCTGGTCCTTAGTCATCCCTTGTCAAATAGGGGAGATGACCACAGTCAGGGATGGGCCTGGCTCTCTTCTGACGCATTAACTCCTGTCAATTGACAGTGGCCTGGAGTGCTGCGTGGGCACAGGGATTCTGAGCTGATCACTGAAGCCTCCACCGGCCCTGGGCAGTTTTCAGGCCATCAGTGTGCCTCCTGGTCCTAGGTGGCTCTGCAAGTCCCTGCTAGTGCTGACATCCTGGAGGTGTCTGTGATCCCTCTGCTAACATAACATGTGACTCCAGATCAGCGATTTTCAACCAGGGTGCGGTAAGGATTTTTAAAACATGCAATGCCTGGCTATTTAGTCATAAGCACTGACCTCTTTTCCCTTGGACTGTCAAATAAAAAAAAATGACAACAGCCAAAACAACAATAACCATCTGGTGTGAATGAATCAAAATTATACCAATTTTTTTGTCAGATTGGCAAAAAATATATTTTTTGGTGTGCTGCAGAATTTTAGTAGTTTATGTGTGCCAGGAGAAGAACAGGGTGAAAATCACTGCTCTAGACAGTCATTTCTCTCGTCTGGGCATCAGGCTCCTCAGCTATAAACCAACACCCTGCCTTCCCCCAAGATCTTCCATGCGGAGCAAATGAACTCTAGGGTCAGAGTGTACTTTCCAAAGTGGATCAGAGCGGCACAACTGCGGCCTCACAGCCTGGAGCCCCTGCCCGCCCTGCCACCACGTTCCCAGCCACAGCAGGCCACTCACTCCGGATCTGCTTCTTGATCTCCTTGGAGGGATCCAGCCAGTTCTACAAGAGAAGACACAGTTCTTTAGAGGGAAGATAGAGAAGAGGACCCAGACAGGTCTAGGAGGGAGAAACATCTGGAAATGGCCCCGCTGACAGCCCCTGGCAGTAAATGCCCTTCTTTGGCTGAGCTTTCTGCGCCCGTTTCCCTGGACTAGCAGGTGAGGGAACGAGGCCTGGATTCACCACAGGGCTGGCGGCTCGAGGCTCCGCGGCTGGCGCTATGCTGAGGCAGCGCAGTGAACAGATTACGCAGCTTCAGTGGGATGGCGGGAAGGAGGAAACTGGGAGGAAACGCAGAATGGAGCCTCCCTACGGAGGGGGCGGGGAGTGCCTCAGTTCCCTCAGGAAGCCATGGTTGGCTCTCCAGATACTCGTCTGGGGTGACATTCAGATCCCCAAGAAAGACTGGGGGGTAGAGTGGACACACAGAAGCGAGGACACTATAGGACTAGCTGAACCTTGGGGATGTGCAAACAGAAGGTGCCTAATGAGGATCCGAGGACTGATGGAAGCCACAGGATGCCACAAGGACTATGGGGCCCTGAGGGACGACGTCTCCCCCACAGCGGCCCTCCCCTGCCAGCCCTGCTGCCCGGCCCAGGTACCTTCTGGCTGTCAGCGTCACAGAAGGTCAGACCAAAGTAGTCCTTCTCCAGGAGGTTGAGGTGCTCACAGACCAGGTCGAACAGCACCTGGCCCCGGCCGTGTTTCTGCAGACGACAGAGAAACTTCTGTGAGGCCATAACACACCTCGGGGTGGGATGGGGAGCTACCCCTAGCTCCACTAGGAAACGTGAAAACCCCCAAGAGCCTTCCAGTGCCTAGGCAGACATCAGCACTCCTGCCACCCACCTGGCTCTGTCCCTGACACCTGGGTCATCAACTGTCTTCTTCCAAGCTCTGCTGGGGTCCTACTAGACCTTAGACTTGCTTGGGGATGGGGTGGAGACAGAGCCTCCCAAGGCTGATTTCTCCTTCCTTTACAGCAATTAAGAGGAGACTAACTTGGACACAAGGAGCAGAGGACAAAAAGTCTGAACTTTGGGTGTGAGGAGAGAAGAGCCACTGAAATATAAAGGACGCAGACAGAGGGGCAGGGGCGGACCCAGGATTCAGCGTGGCAGTGTGACTCGCCCTGTCTAGTCCTTCCCCTTACATGTAGTCTGAGTGAAATCCAGGGCGGCCCAGACTGGAGGAGCTCCCCTTACCTGGGCAGCAAGTGAGGTTTTATTGAGGCAGATGGGGCCTAAATCTGCCTCAGCAAGAAGCAGCCATGGAAGAGCCCCCTTTCTGTCCGCCCCCCCCCATACAACCAGGCTCAGTACCTCTCTGAGCACCCTCTGGGCCTGAGGAGTCATTCACAAGGACAAATCCCAGAACCTGGCTGGCTACCCCAAACCCACAGGGGTGAGGATGAGCACCAATAAAGGGATCACAGGGCAGGGCGAGTGATAAGCAGTCACTACTCAAAGAGGCAGGGCCTCCAGAGAGAGGGTGAGGTTAGGCGAAGGGTCTGGCTAGGTTGTGGGGATGGAGACCAGGCCTGACTATGGACAGCAGCTTTGGGAGGCCAAGAAATTCCTGAGCCTGGAGGAGCCCTTCAGAAAAAGTGGGCCCAGCCTCAGCCGAACGCTCTGCGCTCCCCCAGAGCAGCCTGAGAGAGCCTCCTGGGGCCGGTGTGGGTAGAAGAAAATCAAGAAGATATCCCTTTACTGTGCCCAGAAGTAGGCAAGGTGTTTACTTTGAAACACTTCCACAGAAGAAATAAATACATAAAAAAATAAAAATAAAAACCCAACCCCATGCCCTAACTGGTGTGGCTTAGTAGATTGAGCGCTGGCCTGCAAACCAAAGGATCACAAGTTCGATTCCTAGTCAGGGCACACGCCTGGGTTGCAGGCCAGGTCTCCAGAAGGGGACGTGTGAGATAAAACCACACACTGATGTTTCCCTCTCTTTCTCCCTCCCTTTCTTTCTCTAAAAATAAATAAATAAAATCTTTAAAAAACACCACAGCCCCACAAAGAAGAGGGACCTAACTTCCCAGAGCTCAGAAGTCAGTCAGTTCCCTCACGTTGAGGACATGGGGAAGAAAAGGAGGTGGCCCCTGTAACTCTCAGCAGTAAGGCCACCTCTGGACTCTTCCATACACTCACAGAGGACCAGGAATGGTGCCTAGGCTAGGGAAGGGCCTCTGAGGGGGCGAGTGAGAGTTCCGAATTCGGGCAGGAGTCTGAGCCTACATAGGAAAAGAGGGACGCTAAATGTGGGCCCAGGGGGGCTGGCCCCAGAGAGGAGGCGTCTGCCCTGCCGCCCAGTGAGGGACAGGACCATGCCACAGGGTTTCTGCATGGTCGCCTCCCTATGCCTGGGGGACACTCTTACCACAGAACCCTGAAATGGCCACTTAACCCTAAAGACTAGAGGTGGTGCCCTGGACAGGGGGGTTCATGATGAAGGACCCCCTCTCCACCCAATAAATAAATAAAAATAATTCTAGTTGAAACATCAGTGTCTGCTGGATCACACTGAGGAGCCTGGTGCCTAGGCCTTCTGGGCTGCAGATCAGCCGTTAGACGGTGGCCTCCTGCCAAAGTACAGCCACTCTGAGAAACCTTTGCCGGGTGCCAGTCTGGTGCTCTGTCTAATTCTATCTGCAATCAAAACAGCCCTCCCTGGCCTTGGTGCCACCATCTGTACAAAGGAGGGCTGGTGAGGGCATCTCTCTGTGATGCCGCAGTCGGTCCAGGGCTCCACGAAGAATGGACGCCCTCTGGCTCAGCCCAGGGTGAGCACACACAGAAGCCTGCCCTGGCTCTGAGGCCAGCTGGCCGGAGACAGGGCATGTGGCACTGGGTGCTCCTTACCTCCACCTCACACTCATACTCGGATGCATCGAGCAGAGTGACCCGGCACAGGGCACTCTTATATTTTTTGGCAATCTTCTGGGGTGACTTCTGGGCCTTGCTGGGCGTGGTCCTCTCCGACAGGCCATCAGCCTCCCCGTTGTCCTTCTCCTCCATGTCTAGGCTCTGTAGGTCCAACCAGGGGGAAAGTTTGGTTAGTGGGCTTGAAACCAGAACCTTTCATCCAAATGAGATGCAACGGGAAGGCAGCTGGGGCTAAGAGGAACCTCAAAATGAGAGCCACCACCATCCAAGGCCCCCGGGGTGACCAGGGTCTATGGTGGGTATGTCCAATAGGAGAGCCAGAGCTTCCATGTACAACAGAGTGGCTCACGTGAGGGGTCCCCAGCTTTCCTGCTGTGGGCAGCCTCGATAAGCGAGAGCATCCCACAAAACCAAACCTGAGGGCCAGAGCTGTCCTGTCTCCCTAGGACAGTGCATGAGTTATAGGACAGCCGCCTGGGCTCCTCCTTCTTGGTCTGTCACTGGGTCTAGAGTGAAGCTGGGGACTTGGAGTGATTAAATGGGGGGAAGGGAGGTCTGCGCCCTGTCCTCTAGTCCTAACTGTACCACCGACACCCTCAATGACCTTGGCCAAGTCCCTGTCCTACCTGGGCCTGTCATGAATTAAGGAAGGTGTGAATTTAATGGCTACATGATTCCTCAAGTCCCTTGTAGCTTCAGGGGGATAAATTTTGCTCTGGGGCCACACTGGGCTTGCCAAGCCAGAATGGACAGGTAGAAGTGTAAGGCTGAAAGAACATGGGTTTTCGAAATCAGATCTAGATTCAATTTGTACCTCTGTCACTTTATAGCAAAGTGATTTTTGATGACTCAATTCACCCTGCTGAGCCTCAGTTTCCCCAAGCATAAAATGGGGAAATTAATAGCTACTCTCTTAGGTTTGGGAGAATCAAATATAAAAATGAAAACAATGCCCCCGGCACTGTGCTCAACACATAACAGGTCAGTAATAAATCATTTCCTTCTCTCTTCTCTTCTAAGAACCTGCTCAGAGGACACACTGGGCAGGAAGAGGGATGCCCGCACTCTCGGGCACACACCTGTTCAGCAGGCCGAGTGTCCTGCTGGGGCAGATGCTTTTCATTGGAGTTGGCCTCCGGGTGGCCGTGGCCTGCGGGGGTCACCGGGGTGGTCACAGCGGCAGCGGCGGCCTCAGGCTGTTGTGGGGCCTCTTCCTGAGCCTTCTTCACCTCAGAATCAGGGCCTGTCTCTGTTGTCATGGTGACCAGCACGCCTGCATTGGCATGAAGAAGAACATGTGACAGGGAAAGGGGCAGCGATGGTGTGACAGAATAGAGCGAGAGGGGCAGGAACCACATGCAGAGAGAGACAGATGGAGACAAATGGACAAAGAGCCACAGAGAGAAGGAAGGAGGGAGGAAGGGAGGGAGGGAGGGAGGAAGAGACAGGAAGTAGGGGTGGGGAGAGAGTGAAGTGAGGGGTTAGTGGTGGTAACTGAGGTCACAGACCCCGACCCCTCCCAAACTTGTGTCCGTATAGCTCCAATCTCTTGTTCCAGGTCTGGAATGTGGGCCCTTTCTAGGGACGATGTGAGTCTCTCTAGGGAGCCCCACTCTGCCCAGAGCACAAGGGATAGTCAGTGTGTGACCTCCTGCAGGCAGGGCCTCGGCCAGGCTGTCTGTCCAACAACAGCAGGCCCAGAATGCCCCACTAGGCTACTGGCACACAGTAACCCCTCAGTAAAGGCTGGGCGAACTGAACTGAACCACAAGAGCTCTGGGCTCCAGGCCCTCCCAGCACTGATTTGGGCAAGGCTCTTCATCCCCCAAGCCTCAATAATTCCTGCCCCGTTGACTTCACGGGATGCTGTCAGGATGGATCCAAATGGTAAAACTGGAAGGCACTCTTAACAAACGCATAACCCTGCCAAAGTAAGAGGTGGGAAAACTGGGCTCAGGCCCCAGGTTGGCCACAAATGGAGCATTCACTTTACCTCTCTAGGATTCATCCAAAAAGCAAGGAGCTTAGAGAAATTATCTCTGGGACAAACTATTGTTATCATTTTCCCCTTGTAGCAAGAAATGAGATTTCAGAGCACTAAGGACCTATTGCCCAGTTATTCTGTGGAATAAACAAATAGTAAAGACAGAAAGGGAGAGAGAATGGCATGATCCCACTTTATATATTAAAAAACAAAATAACCTCAACAACACATCGTTGTGTTTGTACACATGTAGTAAAAGATCTGAAAGGATACCCAGCAAACTGTTAAGAAAAGTTAATAACTCAAAAGTGGATAAAGGAAAATGAGAGAGTTCCATGGGGCAGGATAAGAGGGGGTACTTTATTTACTTTATACACTTTGGGATTACTTGTATAATTTTAAATATATATACTTATATGTAACTTTTTAACTCACAAGTTGGTTTTTTTAAGAGGGAGAAAGTACCCATTCTGACCCCAATCAGTGGATCCTCAAAGAAAAGTTTGGAACTAAAACCAGGGAACCCTTACCCTTGAATCTAGAGCCATCCTCCAAATCCACCTGTTGCTTATGTGACACTAAGTGTCAACTCTGTGCCAGGACATACATGAGAAAGATCAAGACTAGACCTGGCAGATCCCTCCCTGACCCCATCTATCATAGGAGGCCTCTGATGGGCAGACAGACAGGCAGATACTGGATCTACCCTGGGGCCCATCCCTAACCCCATCCACCATGGGAAGCTCCTGATGGGTAGACAGACAGATGTTGGATTTACCCTTCAACATCGTGACTGCATCCAGGGGCACACACTCCTGTCCCACACTTCCTTTTTCAGTTTCCCTTCCTGTATTCCAGGCGGGGCACCAGTCCGGCCCAAAGCAAAGGGCACTGGCAGAAAGTTAGGGGCGCCGAGTGCTACCCTAGACCACACAAGAGCTCTTGGGCCCCAAACAGATCACGAGCATCCTCACACCCCACTGAGAGGATAATGAGTGAAATGCTTTATAAGCTGGGGCTCATAGCACAAATGAGAGGGTTTGTTGTGACTGATGCTGCTATTATGGTGAAAGAGGAGGAGGAAGGGAAGGCCTTGGTTCACATTGCCTCATCCGCACCCAGAAATGCTTGCCACTCACATCATTATCTTGGGCTTTATGGGGATCACCTAAAGCCATAGTAAAATAAAGGCTCTCTGTGGCTTGGGTGACACCAAGTGCCACCTCTGTGCCAGGATACAAAGCTACAAGAGCTGCTCTAGGGGAGCTCACAGACCAAACAGAGACTTGTCTGCCTGGCTCAGGACCTCTCTTTGCCTGTCTTGGAGTCTATCAGACGTTATGCTAGGTAAGGCCTATTTGGAAGAACCCTTAAAATAAATGCCTACTTAATTTTGCATTAAAAAACCCCCCCACAGACTTATCTGTATGTTTTTGCTGTAAGAAGCAGAGTCCACATGACCCTCATGTGGCAGCCCAAGGCTCTGGTGTATCCGCTCCTCCCCTCTGCTTCAGCCTGGTTCAGCCCATGCTCTCTGAACCCTCTCAGGACCTGCGTCTTCTTGCAGACAGCCACAAGAACAATCCTAAATAAACAGCCCAGTCTTCGCTGCCCCAGTCTTTAGCAGAGCCTGCTGGCAGTAAAGACCTGGTGCTGGCAGAACCACAGATGAGAGAAGCTGGAAGTCTTTTAAGATAATTCAATCTGCCCTGGCCGGGTGGCTCAGTTTGCTGGGGCATCATCCCATACAGCAAAAGGTTGCATGTTTGATTCCCAGTCAGGGTGTGCAGGGGAGGCAACCAATCGATGTTTCTGTCTCACATCAATGTTTCTCTCTCCTCTCTCTCAAATTAATAAACATATCCTTGGGTGAGGATTTTTTAAAAAAAGATAATTCAATCTGCTCTTTTATAGATGATACCCAGAGAGGAAAAGACTTGAGTGACAGACATTTCCTCAGACAGGTTTCCCTAGTCCTTCCCACCCCCTCTCCTCCCCACCCAGCCTCCTTACTCCCCAGATCCCAGCTATTCAAGCAAACCTCAAGGCAATCTCCTTGAAGGAGAAAGCACTCAGGTCCAAGGAAGTGGCATAAGCCACCAGTGAGAACCATGGCCAGGGCTGTTAGATCAACAATGTCTCATCCACTCCAAAGAGTTTAAAAAGATAGAAAATATCTGAATGAAAAAGCATGATACACAACGGTTTGTAAAGACTGATCCTATTTTGATCAATTTATATACACTGGTACAAAGGATCCAGCAAAATATTAAATTTGGTTGTTTCTAGACAGCAGGAATATAGATTATTATTTTCTCTTCTTTTTGCTTAATAGTAGCTCTCAATTCTTCTACTATACTTGGAGATTTTTTCTTGTTTTTAAACATTTTTTTATTGTTATTCTACTACAGTTGTCCCACTTTTTCCCCCTTTGCCCTCCTCTGCCTAGTCCTCCCCCCTCCGGCTCCCACTCTCAATCTGCACGCTGTTGTCCATGGCCGTGGGTCATTCATACATGTTCTTTGACTTAAAAACATTAGAGGTTGCCCGGGCAGGTGTGACTTAATTGGTTGGAGCGTTGTCCCGTAAAATCAAAAAGTCATGGATTCGATTCCGGTCAGGGGCACATTCCTGGGTTGTGGTTTGGTTCCAGTTATGGTACGTGCAAGAGTCAGCTGGTCAATGTTTCTCTCTCACATCAATGTTTCTCTCCCTTGCTCTCTCCCTCCTCTCCCTCCTCTCAAAAATCAATACGCATGCCCTCAGGTGAGGATAAAAAATAAATAAAAATAAATGTTTCACAACAATAAAAAAATAAAAACATTAGAGGTTAAAAATAAATATTTTCAATGCACATGGCTTGGTATAAGAGCATGAGAAGGGGATGAAGTCTGCTTAAACTTTACAATTTTTTCACTAATTAAAAAGAAAAATAATATTTTTTTAAAAAACCCTATGATGAGATCCTCATTTCACAAGTCCAGGGATAACGGCATGGCTCTCTCACTAGGCCACAGAAAACGAGCCAAGAACCTGGCCATGGCTTCTGCTACAGCCAGTCACGTGGGCACAGTTCTGCCCAGGCCCAGGTCAGCACCGACTGATGGAGCCAATGGGTAGCCAGGCTGGCCGGCCACCACAGGGGACACCGGGGAAGCATGTGCTGGTTCCTATGGCACCCATTGCTCCATGGGAGGATGACGCTCACTTGGGAAACAGTTAAACAACAGGCACAATGTGACTTAGTGTATGTTTCAGGCTCTAGAAGATTCTGGAGATCTGGTGATAGAGGACAGGGCCTGCAGTTCTTAAAGAAGGGCTTTAGGGTAGGGAATGGAATGAGAGGTGGAGTCAGGCTTTGAAAAACAGGAGAATTTAGACAGGAGATGGCAAGGAAGGCATTTGGGTTGAGTCATCATGTGAGCAAATGCCCAGAGACGGGAGCAGGTAGCGCTGTGCAGAGGACAGACAGGAAGCCTTGAATCCTCAGAACAAGAAGCCTATAAAGGTGAGCGTCAAGCAGCCTGGCGGGAGGGACAGGATGGAGTTGGGGAGAAGTGAAGGAGCTGGGGGTGGTACAGGCAGCCTTGCAGGAGTCAGAAGCATGACTCCGCTGGGAAGGGCAAGACTCCCATCACTCCGTGCTGCTCCGGGCCAGGCCAGGGTCAGGGACTTCACAGTCATTTCATGGATGCCTCGCAGGGTGGCAGGGCAGGGATAGAACTAGGTCAGGCAGACCTAGGTCAGACAGGTGCCGACCCAAAGCCTGGCTCCACCACTAGCTCTCTCTGTGACCTTGAACAAGTGACTTCACTTCTCTGAATCTAGGTAGCCTTGTCAGAAAACACGAGGTACGCTTCCCTCCCTCTCAGGGGAGTGATAGAGATTCAGGGAAACAACATCGAGAGAGTGCTTAGCATGGCTTGCACCCAACAGAACCTCCCTGAGAGAGAGGGACTATAATTACAAGCAGTAACGGAAGGCCGCAGTAGGGAGGGGTCTGAGAACCAGGAGCTCAGAAGTGCCCACCCAGAATGGATGGAGAAAGAGACGTTCTAAGAGACGGAGATTAGCAAAGTCTAACTGATGACACTAAATACGAAAACTGGAATGTGTGGGATTAGCAAAGGGAGAGGTCAGCCAGAGAAGGAAATGCTGATGATGCCCATGCCAGCCCTTTCTGGAGAAGAGTGGCCCAGTGAGGCCCAGCATGCATACCTGGTGGGCTTGGCTGGGGCCAACCCTGCAGACCGTCAGCATCTGAGGCCCTTCAACATTGCAACTACCTG